CTTGTCTCTGGTCCTTGCATTTCACCCTACTAATCTCAAAGAGCACCAGCCACTATTGAGAGCAATGAGCACTTGGCAGCAGCTGAAGCTTGCAGTCCTTTGCCTTGGATGCTTAGCAGGTGTTGTTGATGGAGAGAGGAGCGGTGTCACCTGAGTGCTCATGTCTTAACCCTCTACAGGTGGGAGAAGGGATTTACACTAACATACTTCCTCCTGGAAAGGTGCGGTAGCTGTTAGTTCTGTGGCAGCAACATCATTTGCAGGATGCCAGACAGGCTGTGTGGCTCACACTATTGTGCGCTCCAACATCTTGCTGCCATTTCCCAGCATTTTCCACCTGCCTCACTTCTTCTAATGTCCTGGCCGGCCAGTGGGTTGCAGGGTATACAGCTCAAAATAGTTCAGGATGACTGATGTAGCAAGAGACAGTTTCATGGACAGCTTCCAATGCATTCATATTTGCCCTCAATTAAATGGCTTTCATTCATAGATTTGGATCTGTGCACTACTTTGATCTGCTTCTGTGCATACCACAGTCAATGGCTGGATGATGACATGAAGGAGTTCAAAGCAAGCACCCAGCCTGCTTCTGGAAATGGCATTCAATAATTTAATTCAGAGGACGATGACAGAGTTGTTTCTGAACTGGAGATTAATGGATGACCTTGAAGTAAACAAAGCATTAATATCCGACAGAGGGAGCATGTGAAGTGGGACATGGGGTGGGGGATGGGCTGGCATGTCTGGGGCAGGGGTGAGCACATTGTTCCGGGTTTGCAAGCCAATGCACTTGAGTGGAACTAGACAGAAGCCATGTGTCTGTGTCTCTCTGTGTGTGTCACTTATGTGCAAGGAAGGTGCGAAAGCAACACTGACATACGTGGGGAGGTGGATATGCCCTTTCTCCCACCCAGTCCTCTGAGCTCCAACAGTTTTGGGGCATGGCTTTGTTTGGAGTGGATTAAATCCTGCTCCATATAATCCCTTTGTGTGCCATGCTCTGGAAAGAGGCATTAGAGATTAATGCTAACAGCACAGTGGCTTTTGCTAATCAGGCCAGGAGGATTATAACGGGCTCTACCAGCAGAAGGCGTAATATTGTGGATGCTCATTTCCTCTTGGTGAAGAGAAAGGAGAGAGACTGGAAACAATCTCATAGGCTCTGTGAAAGACAAATTGAGTTCGAGCAGAACAAACTGTCTGTGGCTGCTTCAGAGTCGACAGACATAGAAAATCAATGTGGGGAAATCTTTCACTTTGAGAGCAGTGGCTGGAGTGTTTGAATTACTGTAGGCTGAATTATTGGGGCTTTACATGGGGTTGCTCTGGAACAGAATTCAGAAACTGCAACTGGCCTATGATTCTGTGGCCAGACTTCTGACAGGGCGAGTTGGAGGATGACTCAAATCATTATGTTGCAGATCTAGAATTAGTGAATGATAAAAATTAGTAAAATGGTAGAATTTAGATAATATTTGGGATATTGAAGGGAAAATACAGGGTGCAGCAGTTCTCCTGAAAGATGGAAATTCCTGGGTTAGCCTATGCAATCTAGTCTCTTCCAGCTGGTTGAATGTGAGCCATTATGAGACAATGGCCAGTAATCTACAAATCAGAGAAGGATCCTTGGGTCTGTGCAAAACAGAGTTGCCATTGTTAGCATGGGCAGAAAAAGGGTTAGGACTGAAAACAGGCAGGAGCAGGCTGTGCCCACAGAGAAAAAAGTGCCCTTCTACACAGAAGATTGGAGCAAGATGTTCTGGGAACAAGAAGGAGGAAATCAGTAGAACTCCATGCAGGGACTGAGAGTCAGAACCATCTTGTGGAGAGACCGGGACAGAGGTATGGAGGTGTCTTGGAATCTGATGTTGCACAGCTTGTGGGGAACAAGCCCCTCTTGAGATGTGAATGCTGTAAACCCTGCACTCACTCCATCTACACCCAGGTGTAAATATGTGTAAAGTAAACCATATTTCTTTAAGACACCATATTCATGGCCATGTGTTGACTCCCAATGGAAACACAACCCTGGGTAAGCATCTGGAACCTCCTGAAATGTTGCTTCTGCAAGATTGAAAGAGATTGGAAGTGGCATTCAACCTTCGCAACACTGGTGTCAGTAGTGGGATCTGTGTTCCCTGGTGGAAAGGGCCTAGAAGCAAAGTGTGCCTGAAGTCAAAATGGAGGGAGAAGCAGCTTCAAGTGGATGAAGGAGCACCACAATCGGCAAACGGAGCAGTATAGGCAGTGAAGTAACCAAAGGCTGGAGCAGCTTCTGCAGTCACATAAATGGGAGAAACAGCTGTTCAGCATAACAGAATAACCACAACCAGAGTGGATGAGCAGAGTGAGAAGCCCCACTGGATAGCAAAGTGAGACTCCATGTGAGGTGATCACCTTGCAATGGGTTCGAAATAACCTAGAATCTGAGTTTCCAGGCATCCAGATGAAGAAGGTAGCCAAAGAGACCTAGAGCTGAGGGGCTACTGATCAGTCTTTCTATTTCCAGGGAGCCTGCTGTGGGAAAGGGTGTACAGTGCTACCTCGGGTTACAGACACTTCAGGTTACAGACACTTCAGGTTACAGACTCCACTAACCCAGAAATAGTACCTTGGGTTAAGAACTGTGCTTCAGGATGTGAACAGAAATTGTGTAGCGCAGCACGGCGGCAGTGGGGAGGCCCCATTAGCTAAAGTGGTACCTCAGGTTAAGAACAGTTTCAGGTTAAGAATGGACCTCCGGAATGAATTAAGTTCTTAACCTGAGGTACCACTGTACAAGAGAAGAAGGGCTGGCAGGCAGAGCTGCTTCAGATTGATTTCACCACTTCCTGGGAGACTGCTGTGGAGGACAAAATGGAGGTGCCCAAGGGCATACAATAAGTGCCGCTAATTGATCTCTCTGCCCCTCGGGAGCCTACTGGAGAAAAGGGTGTGCAAGAGGAACTTGTGCCAGAAAAGATTTCAAAGAAGGCACCTCCTCACTGGGGAATACATTCTGCAAATGGAAAGCCACAACTGAAAAATGCCCCCCCCACTGCTCTGCTTCAGGGTCATGGCCACCCTCTGAGTCTCCCTCAGAGTGAGTTATGTTTATTAATTTCTGACATTCTTATTAGTGTGCTACTAAAGTTTCCTGTGACTGTTGTGGTTTGTTTTTCTTCATTTTGTTTTTGAAATCTGATTGTGTTTTAACAGTTCTGTAAGTTGCTTGGAGACCTTTGAGTAACTAACAGATCAAATTTGTCTCTGGGGCAACCCAGCCAGATGGATGGAGTATAAATAATAAAATAATTATTAGTAAAAGGTAAAGGGACCCCTGACCATTAGGTCCAGTCGTGACCGACTCTGGGGTTGCGGCACTCATCTCGCTTTATTGGCCAAGGCAGCCGGCGTACAGCTTCCGGGTCATGTGGCCAGCATGACTAAGCCACTTCTGGCGAACCAGAGCAGCGCACGGAAATGCCGTTTACCTTCCCACCAGAGCGGTACCTATTTTTCTACTTGCACTCTGACGTGTTTTCAAACTGCTAGGTGGGCAGGAGCTGGGACCGAGCAATGGGAGCTCACCCTGTTGTGGGGATTCGAACTGCCAACCTTCTGATCGGCAAGTCCTAGGCTCTGTGGTTTAACCCACAGCGCCACCCGCGTCCCAATAATTATTAGTAGTATAATAATAATTATTAGTAGTAGTAAAAACAGCAACTTGGATCCAATTAATTTCAGTCTGTCTACTCTGAATAGAACTTAGTTCGCTACAACACTGAAGTCTTTAAGTCACCAGGGGACCCTTCCTTGAATTCAGGGAGGATCTGCTAATTCGTTTTAGTGGCTTTGAAGAAGGTGTGGGAGGCAAACTATTTAACATGACAAACCGAAGCTCAGTTTACTGAGAAGTAAATCCTGCCAAATTCAACCGGACTTACTCTCTAACCAGCACCTTTAGGGTTGCAGCCAGAGACTATCACCACCCACCTGGGATGTAATTGAACTGCATGGGCCTTACTTCTGAGGAGACGTTTTATAGGGGTCCGCTCCAGCATGCCGGATTCCTGAACGCAGAGTCTGGCTGGCGAGAGCAGAAGAGCAATGCTCTTAGAGATGCGTTCTTTGATGCAGCTGCCTACAAATACGATACGATATGGTAATCTTTATTGTCATTGTCCCATACAGAACAACGAAATTGAAAAAAATCTACATAAGACATTCAAAAACCAACAAGCCTGCTATGCCAGCTATTCCAACCTGGTTAGCCCCCTAAAAACTCTGATACCCCATTTTTAAATACAGTATACTCCCATAGAGACTCCTTACCCTGCATTTCAAACCAAAATCGCATTTGGATAGAAACTGTTTCTCAGGCGGCTAGTCCTAGTCCTTATAACCCTGTACAGTACCTTCTTCCAGAAGGCAGAAGCTGAAAGAGATAATTTCTTAGCAAATCAAACAATTGGGCCCAGCGCCAGCCCAGGCCAAGGAGAGCGAAGGGAAAGTTCCCGGGCATGCAGTGGGTTAAGTCAAGGCAGGGCTGCGGGGAGGGGAGGGGGCCGCACCTGTGGGCCAGTTTGTGTGGAGCTACCGGGCTAAGCGAATCAGAGCAGGCCGCCAAACAGGTGTTTGCTGCCGTCAGGGGCGAGGGGCGGGGCGGGGGGCCGGGCTTGCGAGTCGGCTGGCTGTTTGTGCAGCAGCAGCCGGCGGCGGCGGCGGCCTTCCGCGAGCTTCCCGGGGCCGCGCGATGTTTTGCAGGCGCCTCGGCGGAGATGGGGCTCGGGGAGCGGCGCTGCAAAGCTGGGCCGGCGGCAGCAGCAGGAAGAAAAGCCACGACGACGACGACTGCTGCTGCTGCTGCTTTAACTCGGCCGAGGGAGGGACGTCCCGATCGCCTTGAGAGCGCGCGGCTCCAGCGGGGCGGCGAGACAGAGTAGGCGGCGGCGGCGGCCCCCGCGCGCAAGCCCAGGGCGGCTCGGCTCGCCTCCGCGCAGGGGCGCACGGAAGAGGCAGGAGAGGAGAAACGCGGCTCCCTCCCCGCTGCGGGCTCCGGGCTCCCTGCTCCGCTGGCTTTCGTAGCCTGGAGTGGCCCGGGGCCCGGCCATGTCCGCTTTCTGCTTGGGGCCCGTTTCAGCACCATCGGAACTGGACAGCGCCTGCCGCATGGAACTGCAAGGGCCGCCCCAGTCGACGTCGGAGGGGGGAGCCAAGGACAGCCGGAGCTCGCCCACAGCCGGGCCCGCCGCCGCCGCCGCTTCCTCTTCCTCTTCCTCGGCCTTCGAGGTGGGCGGCTCGGAAGGAGAGCTGGAGCTGGAGGAAGAGCTGGCTCTGCTAGCCGCCGCCGGGGATGCTGCGCCCGGGGAGCCCGAGTCCATGGGCCCGGCGGAGGCGGCTCCGCAGCCGGAGCTGCTCTCCCTGATGAGGCAGAAGGAGAAGGATTTGCTGTTAGCCGCTCGGCTCGGGAAGGCGCTGCTGGAGCGCAACCAGGATATGAGCCGCCAGTACGAGAGGATGCACAAGGAGCTGACGGATAAGCTGGAGGTGAGGCGGCCCGGACGAAGAGGGCGAGGAGGGGAGGGGAAGGGGAAGCCGCCCCTCGCTGGGGCTGATTCTGGAAGGGAGAGAGCTGCGTGTCTGTGACTCAGGTGGCCTGTCCGGAGATTGGGGCCGCGGAGCTTCCTCCTACCCCATAACCCCAGATGTGCAAGCAGGGGACAGTTAATGTGAACTCGGGTTTGCCAAGGCCTAGACCCAGAACCACTGTGGCAGGTTCCAAAACACATTTTTGTGTGTGTGTGTATGTGTGTGTGTGTTTTTGGGTCTACAGTCTAGGCCCTGGGTGTGAATATTCAACCAAAGGGCATCTGACCATGTGCAGAGAACATCTTTTGGGGATGGTGAAGAGTTTCCGAGCATGTGCAGAGAGCCTCTCCCATCAGCTAACTCCAGCCGCCCCCTTTCTTTCCCCAAGACCTTTGCATCTTGGATTGTGACATACACTTTCTAATTTATCATTGCTAATAATGGTTTATGACTTCAGGTTTGGGTCTCAGGGTCTCCTGTTTGTAGTGTGGGGGGAAGTATTCTGCCCATGCTCAGGACTGCCATTTGTGGGAACCTAACCTCATTTGAGAGGACTGAATTCAGGGTACTGGCAAATAGATTGTGCTGCCAGGGCCTAGCAAGTCATGGTGGCTCTAGCTAAGGCCACAGAGAAGGTTTGAGCAGTGGAGCAGACCAAGAGCAGAACTTCTGTGTAATATCGAGCTAACCTGAAGTATCTGAAAGGTGCAGTCCTGAGAGGAGAGGGGAAGGCCCTGTTTACTCCACGTTTGCCAGATGTCCCTTAATCATTTCTAATGCTACAGAAGACATATTTAGTGCCAGCACTGCATGAAATACAGAAACAGCATGCACCCAACATAGAAATGTCCTTCGTCTGACCAGGCTGTAGCACTGGGAGCCCCATCAACATATTGCCCCTATTTGTGGTAAGCTCAGAGTCAGGGAAGCCTGAGGACCTCCAGGCCTCTCTGTCTGGCCCTTGGGACTCTCCTGTGCCACACCCACTGTCCCCAAGCCACAACTCTTTCTGGCCCTGCTTTGCACCCTCATGAGTGTTATTGTCTGTCTGGAATTTTCATAAAGAAAGAAATGTGTATTCTCCATTTCTAGGGCCTATGTACTGCCCAGTGTGGCTTACACTTATTTTAAAATCACAGTAGCATATGAATGGTGGGGAAACAATTCGTTAAAATACAACCAAGTCTTCACCAATTTGGTGTCCCTCCAAATGTCCTGGACCACAGCTCCCATCATCCCCAGCCAGCATGGCCATGCTAGCTAGGGCCAATGGAAACATGTCCTTAAACTCTGGTAATGCCTCTTGCTTGTCTCGATGGAGTCTAGAGACGGAGGGGTGTGCAGAGAATCTAACCCACTGTACAAAGGTACATTTACATACATTGTTCCATCTGCTTTTGCCTCTGACCCCACCCATCAACAGCAGGCAACGCCCTGCAAGGGAGTGTGACCCTGGCACTGAAAAAAGATTCCCTAGCCCCTCTATAGGCCTTCTACTTTTACCTATTCAAAGGGAGTTGAAAAAGAATGGGATGGGGGAGAGAGACCAAGGATTGCCACCTAAGCAGTACAGATGAGAGCAGGTTGACTATCCTGCACATCAGGGAGTGTGTGGGGCTAACCTGTAACCCTCCAGAGGTGGCTGTGTTCCAGCTTCCATAATCCCAGGCCATTGATGATGCTAGCTAGGGCTGATGGGACTTGGCAACTGGAGAGACACAGGTTCCTCTTCCCTGTTTTAGATGTTCTTGGGCTGCAGGTTCCACCAGCCCCAGCCAGTGTGGGCAATTGTCAGGGATTGTTGGAACTTTAGTCCAACGACATTTGGAGGTCCACAGGTTCCTCACTTTTTCTGTACATGAGAGTTGGAGCGCCGTGTGGTCTTTCCCTGGGTAGGCTCCACGTATAACGCCTTGATCTTATCCTGTTAGTAGTTGGACTGTGTCATTTTTGTTTACACACACACACACACACAAACAATTTTTGCAAGTAGGAGGATAAGTTTGGCAGGAAGCAACATGCTCATAGTTGCCCAGATGATCAGCAGCAGTTGTGCTGTGCTCCAAGGACGATGCTCTGTCCCACTTGCACTTTCCATGGTTTCATAACTTATTTTGAAGCCTTGATTCTCAGAGTGAGAAGGCCTCCCTAAACAAGCACAGGCAGTTGTCAGGGGGAGGGATAAAATGCCACGGTAGGCCCCTCCTAGCCTAGTTCTGTGGGCATGCTGATTGGATGAGAAGACAACATGCTAGCCTATGCACTCTCCAATTAGTGTGCCCTGAATGACACTGGCATCCGACAGTGCTGAGGCTGGCAGATCTGGGGGAGAATGGGTGTAATATCCCTGTCACCACTCATCCTTTCTTGATGCCTTTTTTATTTTCTGTGGATTCCTTCCCTTTAGGGCAGGGGTGTGGTTCAAGTAACACTTCAAAAGTTGTCGGACTCCTGGTCCCACCAGGCTTAGCCAGTGCAGCCAATGATCAGGGATGATGAAACTGTAGGCTGTGTAAAGGTAAAGGTAAAGGGACCCCTGACCATTAGGTCCAGTCGTGGCCGACTCTGGGGTTGCGGCGCTCATCTCACTTTATTGGCCGAGGGAGCCAGCGTACATCTTCCAGGTCATGTGGCCAGCATAACTAAGCCACTTCTGGCGAACCAGAGCAGCACATGGAAACGCCGTTTACCTTCCCGCCGGAGCGGTACCTATTTATCTACTTGCACTTTGACGTCCTTTCGAACTGCTAGATTGGCAGGAGCTGGGACCGAGCAACGGGAGCTCACCCCGTCGCGGGGATTTGAACCGCCGACCTTCTGATCAGCAAGTCCTAGGCTCTGTGGTTTAACCCACAGCGCCACCCGCGTCCCACGTACCATAGCTGTCAATTTTTCCCTTTTCTTGCGAGGAATCCTATTCGGAATAAGGTTATTTCCCTTAAAAAAAGGGAAACGTTGACAGCTATTCTGTGTACACACTATATATCATTAAAGCACGTTCAAGCACATTCTTTCCTTCAACTAATTCTGGGCACCGTAGTTTGAAAAGAGTATAGGTTTATACTGGACCATTCACGTACCATTCTATTTTATTATATTCTCTGTGAAGCTTCCCCAACGTTACTGCATTCTGTCATCCAGAGGAGCACCCTTGCTCAATAGTGCAACAAAAGCAGGACAAAACAAAAACAAAACAGAACACTTGCCCCAAGAGTTCTGCAGGTGTAAACAATACTGAAGGCAGGATCATGTATAACTTCCCTGATATTGCCATGAGACCAAATGATAATGAATGCGCAGTAACAAGGATGTCTGCCTGGGTCCTTGATCTACCTTCTGTCCTTCCCACTAAGCATTTAGTTACTTAGTTAACAGAAGCTGCTGGAGCAGTGTACAGAATAAAACAGAAAACCCATTTCTAAAAGCAATAAAATCGTTTCTAAAACCCTATCTTACCACTTCTAGAAAGCAACAAAACTGTTTTTGCAAATAGGCAATCAGTATTGTGTAAGTGACTGGGTCAGCCATCAAGGAAAGCCTAAAAAGATATTAATTAGGTAGCTAAACAACATGATGTGATGCACCTGTGCAATTCTGGCTGGTAATTGATTGCAGAGGGCTGGAGTTACAATCCTGAAATCCTAGTTTCTAGGGCAAGCTAAGCACACCCTCAGCAGTGCCTGCCTGAGAATTGCAGTTGCTGGGCAGGTATATATTGGGTGAGGCGGTCCCTTAGGTAAGCTGGTCCCAATGCTAAAAGTAGAAACCTTGAAATGTTCCTTTTCATTTCATAAAATTGATACACCAGTTGACTGTTTAAAAAAACCCTCAAAGTAGTTTACAAAGAGAAATGTTCCTGGTAGCATATTGGCAGCCAGTGCAGCGCCCTCAGAGGTGTCATACGGTGTTGAAGAAATGCCCCAGTCAACAACCTAGTTGCTGCATTCTATACCAGCTGTAGTTTCCAAGTTAAGCCCAAGGGACGCCCCACTTAGAGCACATTGCAAACAACTTTAATGCAGATACCTACTAGGCTGTTTTGAGCTTGATTTATATACTGTACTTAAAAACCTCCAAGGAAGGAGAGTCCACCACAGAGGTCAGCAAACATTTTCCACTACCCCTCAGACCTTGTGGGGGGCCAGACTATATTTTGAAGGGGAAAAAATGAACGAATTCCTATGCCCCACAAATAACCCAGAGATGCATTTTAAATAAAAACACACATTCTACTAGTGTAAAAGCACCAGGCAGGCCCCACAAATAACCCAGAGATGCATTTTAAATAAAAGCACACATTCTACTCATGTAAAAACATGCAGATTCCCAGACCGTTCACGGGCCAGATTTAGAAGGCCGTTGGGCCGGATCCGACCCCAGGGCCTTAGTTTGCTGACCCATGGTTCACCATCTCTTGCAGAAGTCTGTTCCACTGTTGAATAGCTCTTAACTGTCAGAAAATTCTTCCTGATGTTTAGTCAGAATCTACTTCATTGTAACTTGAATCCATTGGTTCGGCTCCTAGCCTCCAGAACAGGTAGAGGCAATTCAATACTATAGAGTTTACAGCAGCTGTCCTCGTGCCCTGCTGATATTTTTGACTACAACTTCCATCAGCCCCTGCTGGCCCTAGACTGTGAGGTGGGATGAGACCAGCCACCCTGGGGAGGGGGACAGCTGTGTATGCCACCTTGAGCTCGTTGAAGGGAAGGTGGGATATAAATAAAATAAATAAATATTCACCACATCATCAATTCCGCTTTCAAACTGCTTTTGACACTTAGACAGGGAGAGTGTTCTGTCTTCAGTCTATAATTTCTATGAAAAAAAGCACAAAATGACCATTTTCCTGAAATTCCATCTATTAGCCCTAGTATGGTGCTGTATTCTCCCCCACCCTCTTTCTATATAAAATGACCTTAATTCTTTCATGCCTGGAAATGACTGCACTAAATCCTCCAAATGAGCTTTTCATGACCTCCAGCATTAATGCTTTAGGAAACACAAGGAAACCACTGAGAGATCCTTTATGTATCTAGGAGTGACGGAGCGTTCTGTAGATTGCTTCTAGTATGAACTGCTTTGCATACATCTAGCACCGACCTTTTTCTTAAAGGCCAACGAAGAACATAGAAAGCTGCCTTGCCTTGAGTCTGACCCATGTTCCACCTTCCTGAGTACTGTTGACACTGACTGGCAGCAGTTCTCTAGAGTTTCAGACAGAAACATTTGGAGAGCTGCTGCCACCAGCCAGTGTCAATAGTACTCAGCAAGTGTGGGATGTGAAACACAAGAGCAGTCAAGTACAACATTCCTAGAGTGAACATGTTTACACATGGGGAGGAATGTTTGTCCAGCCAGCAGGTAAACTTCCTGTTTCCTTCTGGGCTGGGACAGACTTCCTCTGCATGTGACTAGAGGTGGGCGTGGCCTCACCTGTGCAGGTAACGACAAAAGCACAGGGCAGGGCAGCCATCTCTCTCTCTCTATGACTATTTTCGTCGAAGAAGCAACATCTGCTTAGCCAAAGATGCTCTCTTGGCAAGGACAGTCTCCTTATGAGATAGTTTCCAGGTGTATGTTACTTTTCTAAGCTGAGTCTGCCTTCTGGGATCTGATTGTGAACAGAATGTGAGTGAGTAAACTTTTTTAATACTTTTATAGAAGACTGTGTCGTGTCTTATCTTTTATGAGGGAATAAGGGGAAAATACCAGAGCAGTTATTATAGAGGCTTTAGCAAGCCTGAGCAAACGCCTCCGCTGTGAGTTTAAAAGGGCGAATGTTACTCTGCTAAATTGTGAACTTGTTAACACAAGCTGGAAAGGCTATAACCAAACAATATATCCTCTCCTGCATCCCTGAACAGCAAGATGGATCAGGAGTTCAGCTCAGTATAAAGCAGCTTCCTATGTTCCTTATGGATTTCACACAGGGAATGTTCCCAGCCCTACCTGGAGCAATTGGTCCATCTGGCTCAGTATTTTCTACCCTGACTGGCAGTATCTTTCCAGGATTTGGGGCAGCGGTCACTCCAGCCCTGAGACATTCTGCATGCAAAGCAGGTGCTCTACCACTAAGCTACAGCTGTTCCCCACTGGGCACCATCTTCTGCTTCCCCATATTTCAAGTTTTTCTCACCTTCCACAAATATGTAGGCCACACTGGTCTCTGGCCCATCATGAGTTTATTTCTGTGACAATATGTAGTCATTGAGCTCTCAGTCGTCTCTCATGCAACTGCACTAGATGCAACAGCTTCAATCCTGTATGCACTCACAGACTTTCTTGGGAGTAAGGCCCATTGAACCCTGCAGGCTTTTTTTCTAAAGGCACGCAGCATGGCAATGTGAGAGATGGAGCCTGAATCTAGAATCCCTTTGTTCAACTCTTGCCTCGGCTATAAACTCACTTGTGACCTGAGATATGAACTCACTCAGTCCCTCTGCAGTAAAAAAAACCCAAACTAATGCTAAATAGTTTTTATATTGTGTTTCAATGCTGTAACCTGCCCTGGAACCTTAGGGTGAAGGGTGGGTAAATAATAATAATAATAATAATAATAATAATAATAATAATAACAATAATAATAATAATATATTGCAAGTGGCCTGATGCCCTCCAGATATTTTGATTACAACTCCCAGGCAGCATGGTCATGCTAAAATCGTGTGCCTGAAGCACTTTGGACAATCAGAATTATATAAATGCTATGCATTTTTTATCCTTGAATCTACTTGGAGATGAGGCACTAAAAATGTAATAAGGTTGCTTTAAAAGCTTACTGTGTGGTAGATGCATTCAGAAGGTCCCAGGTGTGATCTCCTGCCTCTCCAGGAAAGGCTGGGACAAATCACTATCTGAAACTCTAGAGAGTGACTGCCAGTCAGTGTGGACCACACTGAGCTAGATTGACCAATGAGTCTGACTTGGTATAAATCAACTTCCTTTGTTCATCAGGAGGAATTTGAAGGAAGGAGAGATGCTATTGTACAGGTATTGTAGGGAATGGTTTTAGGCAGAGGTGAAAGCAAGGGAGGAATGGCAGTTAAGGATAAGGATATCAGTGACTGCTAGCCATGGTGGCTATGCTCTGCCTGCTGGCCTGATCCAGCAGGCTATTCTTATGTTTTTATGTAAGAGAACAAGGAACTTTGGGTGTTGTCCCAGATTATCTGTTTATTGAGCATTCATCTTGATAAAAGAATGAAAGACAATCCTAATGATAATTTTTGTTACTATATATCTTATATGGCTGCGTGCGTGTGTGTGTGTGTGTGTGTGTGTGTGTATGATTGTATATGGATGTTTTTAGATGGTCTGTACCTGTAATGCATAATAAAGGTTTGGCGAAAGAAAGATTCATCTTGATTTGTTTTCAGAGAGACTGGACAACGGTGGCTATTTAATGAGCATTCATTCTGATTTGTTTGCAGGGAGGTTAGATGACATTGCATCAAAGCAGGTGTTATTCCATACTTTTCACAGCGTTGTCCCAATGCTTTCCTTAGCTCGGAAAGTCTCGTCTTTTGCAAGAAGCAGGTATGCTGCAAAAGGCCTCCTAATTAGCCATAATTGTGTGACCTGAATTTGCTGGTATGTGATTGAATCCCACCGACAATACTGACGCGGTATAAAGCTGCTCCATTTTCCCATTTAAATTAACCCTTTGTTCCGAACCATGAGGAAAGAGATGTTTACTTTTAGGAGAAGGGTCAAAGCACAGTGGTGGGGCAACTGCTTTGCATGCAGAATATCCCAGGTTCAATTGTTGGCGTCTGCAGGTAGGGCTGGGAACACCCCCTGCCTGAAATCCATGAGAAGCATAGAAAGCTGCATTACACTGGGCTGAACCCTTGATCTATCTACCACAGAACTGTTTTTTTTTTTTTAATGTATTTTTATTAAATAAATGATTTACAAAAGTATGTGCAATGTTTCTCTTATTTCCCCCCCCCCCCATGTAACATTTTTTACAAATCGGTTTCATTTGTTGAGACATTAGGAAGCAAAGGGGGAAAGAGGTGGAGGGGGGGGAAGATGGTGGGGGTGGGGTCGGGTGGCGATGTTTCTATTTTACTTAATATATGTGGGGTTTGGTATCAGCGGTGCTTGTGCAGGTTCTCTGCTGTTCACTTGTGTTCCTTTGGTGGTGAGAGAGGTTGGGGTTAGCCTAGGGCAGGGGTAGGCAAACCAAGGCCCGGGGGCCGGATCCGGCCCAATCGCCTTCTAAATCTGGCCCGCGGATGGTCCAGGAATCAGCGTGTTTTTACATGAGTAGAATGTGTGCTTTTATTTAAAATGCATCTCTGGGTTATTTGTGGGGCCTGCCTGGTGTTTTTACATGAGTAGAATGTGTGCTTTTATTTAAAATGCATCTCTGGGTTATTTGTGGGGCCTGCCTGGTGTTTTTACATGAGCAGAACGTGTACTTTTATTTAAAATGCATCTCTGGGTTATTTGTGGGGAATAGAAATTCGTTCTTTTTTTTCTTCACAATATAGTCCGGCCCCCCACAAGGTCTGAAGAACAGTGGACCGGCTCCCTGCTGAAAAAGTTTGCTGACCCCCCTGGCCTAGGGTGTGGTTGTTCATTTGTACCACAGAACTGTTGACACTGACTGGCCGCAGCTCTCCAAAGGCTTAGACAGGATTCCGTCTGAAACTCTGAGAGCTGCTGCCAGTCAGTGTCAACAGCATTCAGCAAGATGGATCTTTTTGTGGGGATATTCAGCAAATTGTCATTGATGCAATAATAGTGGATTAGTGGTAGATTTACACTACAGTTTCTGCACATAATTCCTCTTTATTAATTTTTCTGTGATGCTGTGTGCTATAATGCAGCAAAGTAGGACACACACACCAGGACATTAGTGGTATAAAAACTTACAGGATATCACACTGGTGGCTGACGCCCATGGGACCAGTAGGGTGGAATTGAGCACCATGCTATTACAATAATGATGTCAGCACAAGCATGTCATTCCTGATAGAATTATGTCTCCTCATCTCCCTCTGCACTCCTCAAATCCCCTTGGTGACTGGGAGCAGCCGCCGAGACCACATAACACCGGTCTTGAAAGACCTACATTGGCTCCCAGTACGTTTCCCAGCACAATTCAAAGTGTTGGTGCTGACCTTTAAAGCCCTAAACGGCCTCAGCCCAGTATATCTGAAGCAGCGCCTCCACCCCCATTGTTCTACCTGGACACTGAGGCCCAGCGCCAAGGGCCTTCTGGCGGTTCCCTCACTGCGAGAAGCCAAGTTACAGGGAATCAGGCAGAGGGCCTTCTCGGTAGTGGCACCCACCCTGTGGAACGCCCTCCCACCAGATGTCAAAGAGAACAACAACTACCAGACTTTTAGAAGACATCTGAAGGCAGCCCTGTTTAGAGAAGCTTTTAATGTTTGATGTATTACGGTATTTTAATATTTTGTTGGAAGCCACCCAGAGTGGCTGGGGAAGCCCAGCCAGATGGGCAGGGTATAAATAATAAATTGTTATTATTATTATTATTAGTAGTATTATTATTAATTCCCTGGAGCCAATTTGGGGGAGCACAGGGGAGAAGAAGTTATAAAGCTCTGTTGTGCTAGTGGGTATCCTTGCACAGACTTCCACAAGTATAATATTTAGCCGAATCCGGCCTGTAATTCTAGATTTGTCCCCATTTTTCTCATTGTTGAGTCCTACAAAGGCAACACTAAGACTAAAGAGAAGGACGCTGACAGGCAGTGCCACTCCGTGGGCTGAATGTGAGTAGGAAGGCAGGGAGATGGGGGCTGGTTGAGGGCAGACTAAGTTTGGTGGGGCAGTACCCCATTTGCCAAAATGAATCAGTCTGCTAGACCATCTAATTCGGCATATTCTGTCAGCTTTTGGATCCGTGGTCTATCAGAAAAAATAAAGAATAAATCAAAACAGGAATTTTTTTCAAAATGGGAGGTTTTCAAAGAGTATCTGAAAAATAAATATAGTAGTTTAAATTCTGTTGCAGCACTTAAGGAACTTCAGCAATAGTCGCAAGGTAGGTATAAGAAATTAGATATATTAAGAAAAAGTTTAATTATGATAAAAGTGTGTATTGGCAATAAGTAATTTGAAATTGAAATATGGAATAGACGGGAGGTTGGGTCTTTAGTGTTAAGACCAATATATGTTTTATTGTTTGCTAAGAAAATCATGTGTCTATGGTTATTCATGTGTGTAATTTGGTATTTGTGTTTTTTTCTTTTTTCTTGCTGTATCAATAAAAATCTTTTAAAAATAAAATAAAAAAATGAATCAGTCTGCACTGGGTTTATCAGAGGGAATTTATCGGACATGCACTGATTGGAAATGAAGCTGTATGTCTGCCCCAAAACCTTTGCAGGCCCAAAGAGTATTAAAAAGCAGGATCCCACCTCACTGCCACAAAACCACAATGAGTACAAATAATCATGAATGCACAATAACAAAAATAATAACTTTAGGTGCAAACCAAAGTTCTGGAATGCAGTTGAATTGCTGCTGGAAGATGCTTACAATCTCAAGATGCCTCGAAGAGGATTCAGATAACTACCGTATTTTTTGCTCTATAAGACTCACTTTTTCCCTCCTAAAAAGTAAGGGGAAATGTGTGTGCATCTTATGGAGCGAATGCACGCTGTGCAGCTATCCCAGAAGCCAGAACAGCAAGAGGTATTGCTGCTTTCACTGCGCAGCGATCCCTCTTGCTGTTCTGGCTTCTGAGATTCAGAATATTTTTTTTCTTGTTTTCCTCCTCCAAAAACTAGGTGCGTCTTGTGGTCTGGTGTGTCTTATAGAGAGAAAAATACGGTAGTTTTTCTGGCTTCCTTACGTGGGACTGAGAAAGGGCACCATCTAGTACTTGACCCCCAGAGAAGCAAAATGTCTTTGGACAGCCCTGGCTGGAATTGATGTGACTTAAGTCGTGCATTTTTAAATTTAAAAAACGTGCATGGCAGCAGGAAAGCGCGAAGGGTTGGAACAGTGACATTTTGACCCTTTCCCCCTCCCTCTCCCCTGTTACATAGCACTTGGAACAAGAGAAGCATGAACTAAGGCGACGGTTTGAGAACAAAGAAGGAGAGTGGGAAGGACGAGTGTCGGAGCTGGAAAGCGATGTGAAGCAACTCCAGGATGAGCTGGAGAAGCAACAGGTTCACCTCCGAGAAGCTGACCGAGAGAAAACGAGGGCAGTCCAGGAACTCTCTGAACAGAACCAAAGACTCTTAGATCAGCTCAGCAGGGTGAGTGAGACTCATGCGGTTGTCAGAACTGCTCAAACAGCTTGGTATTTCTTTTGAAGCCTATGCTCCTTCACCTGACGTTGCTTCTCTTTCTCTTTGGTTCTGATGTGTGTAAGTGGAGTTTAGTGATTTGGAGCTGTTTTCAGCGTGGGGGCCCACATTACTTTGCAAGCAGGATTTTGGGGACCACACGGTGGTGGGTGGGACTAGAGGGGAAAGTGGACAGGGCAACAGATGTTACTCTTTGTAGGCAAGGCTGCATTCCAGCCACACAAAAATCAGAGTGATGTAGGACAGAGCAAAGTATAAATTGATGCATGTTGAGACAAAAAAAATCTTAATTTCATAAATACATTAATGGGGTCTGATTCATGTGACGCACCAGGAAAAAGGCCTTGGCTGGGATTATAGTAGATAGCTCAATTAAGATGTGTGCAGCAGCTGCGAAAAGGGCAAATTCCATGCTAATGATCATTAGGAAAGGAAGATAAAATTGCTGATATCATCCCTGTTAAAAGTGCTGTTATACACAACTGTTGTGTACAGTTCTGATCACATCACCTCACAAAGGATATTGTAGATACAGGTAGGTAGCCATGTTGGTCTGCCATAGTCAAAACAAAACAAAAAATTCTTCCAGTAGCACCTTAGAGACCAACTAAGTTTGTTATTGGTATGAGCTTTCGTGTGCATGCCCACTTCTTCAGATACACTGAAACAGAAGTCACCAGACCCTTATATATAGTGAGAGGGTGGGGAGGGGTATTACTCAGAAGGGTGGTGGGAATGGGCGATTGGCTGATCAGCAAATCTGAACAATCAGTACAGTGGTACCTCGCGTTAAGTACTTAATTCGTTCTGGAGGTCCGTTCTTAACCTGAAACTGTTCTTAACCTGAAGCACCACTTTAGCTAATGGGGCCTCCTGCTGCCGCTGCGCCACCAGAGCACGATTTCTGTTCTCATCCTGAAGCAAAGTTCTTAACCCGAGGTACTATTTCTGGGTTAGCGGAGTCTGTAACCTGAAATGTATGTAACCTGAAGCGTATGTAACCCGAGGTACCACTGTATCTGAAGAAGTGTGCATGCACACGAAAACTCATACTAATAACAAACTTCATTGGTCCCTAAGGTGCTACTAGAAGGAAGTTTTTTTTATTAGGATATTGCAGAGTTGGAAAAGATTAAGAAAAGGGTTTAGAGAAAAGATGAGTGAAAAGTGAGATGCTAGAAGTTTATAAAATTTTGAATGTCATGGAAAAAGTGGATAGAGAAAAGGTTTTCTCCATCTCTCTGAACAGTAGAACTCGTGGACATCCAATAATGCTCAGTGTTGGAAGTTTAAAAAAGGACTTTGCACATAACATAAACTGCAGAACTCGCTCCCAAAGGAGGCTTTGATGGCCACCAACTTGGATGGCTTTAAAAGAGGGTTAGACAAATTCATGGAGTATAAGGTTGTCAACAGTTGCTAGCCATCATGGCTATGCTCTGCCTCCACAATCAAAATACCAGAGGAGGCTAGAATGCTGTGGAGCTTGAGTCCTGATTGCGAATTTCCTTTCAGGCATCAGCTTGGCCAGGATGCTGGCCTAGATGGGCCATTGGCCTGATCCAGCAGGCTCTTCTTCCATGCAGAGGGTTGCGTCCAATGTTAATCCTACTCTGAGTAGGCCATTAAGATGAATGTAGTCAATGAATTAGTCATGTCTGATCATTTCAGTGGGACTACTCTGAGTAGGACTCACATTGACTACAACCTAGAGCAGCCTTTCTCAACCTTGGGTCCCCAGATGTTTGTTGAACTACAACTCCCATCATCCCTAGCTAGCAAGACCAGAGCTCAGGGATGATGGGAGTTGTGGTCCAACATCTGGGGACCCACAGGTTGAGGAACACTGACCTAGAGGTTCCTGCATACACACTTCTCCATCCCAGGCGAGCAAGAGGAATTTTCTCAGTTCAAGGTGAAAGTCCTCAGGGAGAGCATGGTGCAAGCCTGGGGATGGGTGCTGGAAGAAACTAGCCTGCTGTATAAAGGTAAAATTTGCATTTTTTGCTCTGCCCATGTTTGCCTCTGGTCCCCGCTCTCCACAGCACGGGGCTCCTGGAAGGCTGCCCAGGCAGGTATGCAGCCCTCAGGCTGAAAAAGGTTTCACACCCTGCTCTAAAAGGATTTGAGCATATCTTTTCCTTTTCAAAAAGGCTGTGGCTTGGGGCAAAATTAGGCTTTATTTCACCCTGGTCAAAGACCCAGTTTGGCGCGCACACACACACACCCTACTGCATACACACACTTGCATACACACACACACAGAGGCTGGGAGCCTCAATAGCACCCCTCTGGAGGCTTCACCTGGGGCAAAAAACCTGGCTATCTCCCCACCTGCACCCCGTAGCTACGGCTCTGTCAAAGACCTAAATGTCTTGGGACCCAAATACCTGAAGAAAACCTCATCCTTTCCCAACCTTCCTATGTCAATTTCACTTTTTCTCTGTTTCTCATTTTTCCAGTCTTACGTGCAACTTTCCACTTTTGGCATCAGTTCACGATTTTTTATTATTTAAAATAAAAAAAATTAAAAATATTCATCAGTATTTCTGTCAAATTTCTAGCATTCACATGTTTGTGTGCAGTTTTGCCTAACGTACATTTTTGCAAGTGAAAATTCGCCAGTATTTTAGTGCAAGTTTTCCCCAACTGACACGTTTTTGTACGTCATTTCCCCTGTTATATCCACCGTTCTGCAAGCTGGTTTTTGCATATTATTTCCACATATAATATATGCATTTTAGGCATTCTTCCCCCCTAATAGTTGCATTTGGGGTCATGCTATTTTGTTGGAGAGCTGAATCACAATTTTTGAAGAAGGGCAAATATCAAAGGTTAGCTGTGTTTCAGAAGCTGCTCATTAGGTAGGTTCACATTAAAAGCCTACCAAATTTATCCTCCATTCCTAATTGCAGCCCTTCTCTGTGTGCATTTATACTTTTGCTATGTCTGTTTTGCAAATGAACAATGAGACCTGAGAAGGATCTCATTATTCAGCAATGTGTTCTTGAAGTTAACACATACTGGAAAGGTTGCCTGAAAATGTCTTCTTGGAAAGGATTGCGGCTCAGTGGTGGAACATCTGTTTTGTATTCATAAGGTTGCAGGTTCAACCCCTAACATCAGGCAGGGCTGGGAGAGAGACCCCCTATCTGAAGCCCTGAAGAGCTACTGCCAGTCAATGTAGACCAGGAGTAGTCAACCTTTTTATACCTACTGCCCACTAATGCATCTTTCTTGATGGTAAAATTTCCTTACTGCCCACCAGTGCTTGATGGAAGAAGGATTCAGCTTGTGCCGTAGAACCCCCTACTGCCCACCTAGAATCCTGAAACACCCGCTAGTGGGCAGTAGGGACCAGGTTGACAACCCCTGGTGTAGACCATGGGTAGGCAAACTAAGGCCCGGGGGCCGGATTTGGCCCAATCGCCTTCTAAATCCGGCCCACGGACAGTCTGGGAATTGGCACGTTTTTACATGAGTAGAATTTGTCCTTTTATTTAAAATGCATCTTTGGTTATTTGTGGGGCATAGGAGTTGGTTCTTTTTCCCCCTTCAAAATATTGTCCGGCCCCCCCACAAGGTCTGAGGGACAGACCTTGCTGAAAAAGTTTGCTGACCTCTGACAATACTGAGCTAGATGGACCAATGTTCTGACTCAGTATAGTGAAGAACCATGTACAGCAGGCATGTACAACCAGTAGGTTGTGATCTACCAGTAGATCCCCGGCTGATCCTGGTAGATCGCGGGACCCTTATCGATCGTGGGATTAAATAAAATTTACCTAAAGTTAACAAATAAAAGCTGAAGAATTCTGGCCAATCCGCCACAAAAAAAGCTGAAGAGCTCTGGGCAATCCTCCACAAAAAAAGCTGAAAAACTCTGGCCAATCCTCCACAAATAAAAGCTGAAGAACTCTGGCCAATCCTCTACATAAAAAGCTGAAGAACTCTGGGCAATCCACCCACCTCATGCATGCTCCTCCTCCATCCAATGACAATGGATAGATCACTGCCAGTTTTTTTTATACAGAGAGTAGATCACAGTCTCTGTGGAGTTGGACGTGCCTGATGTACAGCATCTGTTTTACATGTACAGTGGTACCTCGGGTTACATACGCTTCAGGTTACATACTCTTCAGGTTACAGACTCCGCTAACCCAGAAATAGTGCTTCAGGTTAAGAACTTTGCTTCAGGATGAGAACAGAAATCGTGCTCTGTCGGTGCGGCAGCAGCAGGAGGCCCCATTAGCTAAAGTGGTGCTTCAGGTTAAGAACAGTTTCAGGTTAAGAACGGACCTCCAGAACGAATTAAGTACTTAACCTGAGGTACCACTGTAGACGGTTCCACATTCAATTCCCAACATCTCCACGTATTGCTGGGGTAGACTCCTTATCTTAAACCTTGGAGAGCTGCTGCCAGACAGTGTAGACAATATTGAGCTAAATGGACCACTGATGTGACTCGGTATAAGGCAGTTTCCTATGTTTGGCTCTTCTTGCTGCTTCCTTCAGCTCCCTTATCCCTCCTGTCCCCAGAAGCCGGGGATGACGTGTGCATTTCCCCTCATCATTCTTGTACCAGAACAGTCAGCGCTGCGGATTGCACAGCAATGTGCCTCGCCCCTCCTTTGCCTCAGGACGATCAATCTCAGCCTGGATGGCTTATTTGCAATTTCCAGAGCGGCTCAGGAGCTCTTGTCGCTGGTTGCTAGGCGACTGTATATCACAGTGTCCCAGTCGGCTGGTGTTGCCACGGAAACAAGGATGGTAGTTCCTGGATTTTTTCCCCTGCAATTCTGTTACCGTGAGGCTGCAGATACCGTGGGAGACACGGCAGTGACGTCTGCAAGTGGCCACTGGGGGCTCAACGAATGTCCTTTTAAAAAGAAATAGCTGTTGAGCAGTAGGGATGTTACAGGGAACGGTCCTTTCTTACCCTATATTTTTATTATTTTGGAACAAAACAAAAAAGCAAATTCAACTGTTTGAGCATATATCATTTTGTGATGTTTTTCAGAAGCGAGGTGTCCATATAGTCACAGGGTCACCTGTTTTTGTTGGAGGGAGCTATTCTGCAACAAGTCATTGAAGCAATAATAGTGCATTAATGGCAGGCTTATCCTGGATTGTCTACACATCACTCTGCTTTATTAGATGATCTATTATTATTTATTTAAAGTATTTATATCCCACCTGTCTCAAAACCTGGGATTCAAGGTAGCTTCCAATATTTAAAAAACATCATAATAAAATACAGATTCATAAAACAATCCCACAACCAGACCCTGAGCACAACAGCCCTCTCCCACATTGTGATTCCCAGCAACTGCCTCTGAGAGTGGAGAGAGAGGCAGAAAGAAGCCATCATGGCTAGAAGCCATTGATATCCTCCATGAATTTGTCTAATCTTTTAAAGCCAGCCCAGTTGTTGGCCATCACTATCTCATGAGGGAGTGAACTGCACTACCTCATGAGGGAGTGTGCTGTGGGAAGAAGTACCGTATTTTTGCTCTATAAGACTCACGTTTTCCCTCCTAAAAAGTAAGGGGAAATGTGTGTGCGTCTTATGGAGCGAATGCAGGCTGCGCAGCTATCACAGAAGCCAGAACAGCAAGACGGATTGCTGCTTTCACTGTGCTTTCACTCTTGCTGTTCTGGCTTCTGAGATTCAGAATATTTTTTTTTCTTGTTTTCCTCCTCCAAAAACTAGGTGCGTCTTGTGGTCTGGTGCGTCCTATAGAGCGAAAAATACGGTACTTTCTGTTGTCCGTCTTGTATCTCCTAACATTCAGCTTCATCAGATAACTAATGAGTTCTAGCATTTTCTCCACAATGCATAATTTTATGCACACATTCCACCATTGCTCACCTTTTCTTTTAGGCAACTTTACACGAACATACAGATGATTGGCTATTTAAATAATTTCCCATTATCAAGCACAGGAATGATACCTTAGATGAAATGCACAATTTGGGAGGTACTGGCAGGTTTGGAGGTGGTCCAGATGTTTGCATAAGTATAAAACATGCAACAGCCTTTCATTACAGGACCCAGTTGTGATTCTTGAATGTGGCTGCCCTTCTTAGGGTCTACCTCATTGATAACATTACTTTAAAAAAACCCCCACTACAACTGTGATCCTTAGCGTGCCCTTTAGATAAAAATAAACATTGAAACCATTCTCTCCATGGATTCTCTGGCAGCCATGAAACAACAGGGCTGCTTCTGAAAGCCTTCTTGTAAACTCAATACCTGGTGTTTTTGGTTTGAGTATACAGTCATACCTTAGATTACAGACGCTGCGGGTTGCATTTCTTTGGGTTATGTACCACCGAAACCCGGAAGTACCGGAATGGGTTACTTCAGGGTTTCGGTGGTCGCACATGCGCAGAAGTGCTAAATCACGCTTTGCACATGCACAGAAGCACCAAATCACAACCCGCATGTGCGCAGACGTGCCGCTGCAGGTTGCGGATGCTGTGGGTTGCGAATGTGCATCCTGCACGGATCACGTTTGCAACCCGAGCGTCCACTGTATATTCCACTATCTTCCACATGCTTGGCAATCCACAAAAGGCTGTTCAACGAACAGCTTATGCTGCAAGTAATCCTGTTTTAAAATAGCTTTAGCACACAGTTGGGGGTTATTATGGAAAAGTGAGGCTATGTCCCCCAGTGGAATTGGTTCAATTGTTTTGCTTTTCATTCACAAGCAACAAGGTGGTTGGCCTGGCTTGTGGCCTGGATGCCATGAGTGGCACACTGTGTAGCCATGGAGGTTGGTCCACTGGGAATAATAATAATTATTATCATTATTATTATTTATACCCCACCCTCCCCAGCCAAGGCTGGGCTCAGGGCGGCTAACAAGCAATAATAAAAACAGGTTGAATGAATACAATTTAAAAACAAGATTAAAATACAACATTAAAATATTGAAACATTAAAATATTAAAATGCAGCCTCATCACAGGAGGAGAAAGGAAAAAGAAAGGGGGGGGAATCAAATTGACTCCAAGCCAAAGGCCAGGCGGAACAACTCTGTCTTACAGGCTCTGCAGAAAGAAATCAGATCCTGCAGGGCCCTGGTCTCATGAGGCAGAGCGTTCCACCGGACCGGAGCCAGAGTTGAAAAGGCCCTGGCTCTGGTTGAAGCTAATGTAACTTCCATAGGGCCCGGGACCTCTAGGGTGTTGCTATTTATGGACCTTAAGGTCCTCCGTGGGGCATACCAGGAGAGGAGGTCCCGTAGGTACGAGGGTCCTAGGTCGTGAAGGGCTTTAAAGGTCAAAAGCAGCACCTTAAATCTGACCCTGTACTCCACCGGGAGCCAGTGCTGCTGGAAAAGCACTGGGTGAATATGCTCCCATGGCAAAGACCCCGTGAGGAGCCTCGCTGCAGCATTCTGCACCCGCTGGAGTTTCAGAGACAGCTTCTAGGGCAGCCCCGCGTAGAGCGAATAACAGTAGTCAAGCCTGGAGGTGACCGTCACATGGATCACTGTGGCCAGGTTGGGGTGGGAAAGGCACTGCCTCACCAACCTCAGTCTACCTACAGTCAGCTCCCACTTGCCTACCTTTTTGCTTACAATCAGGCCAGGGTTTAGCCTTGGCCATCAACTTCCTTTTCCATAGTCTCTGCATTTCCTCTATGGAACTCAGCAGAGTGGAAACAAGAATGCATTGGCTCTGTCTGTCATTGTCTCTGGTCCCACCTACTGCCAGCATTCCAACCTTCCATTCTACCAGTCCCACTGGGCACCACCCATTATGTGGGGGGAACTACTTTGAACACTTTATGGGGGCCTCCAGCATTATCACTCATGGGTCTGGCTGTGGCAGAGGCCGATATCACACAAGAGTTGCTCAATGCTGCTGTGCGGGTGTTGCGGTGCAACTGCAAAGCCTACATTGGCTTGAATGGGTTATCACAGTGACTTCTGCTTTCCTAACAATCCCAGAAGTGGCAAATTAAAATATTGCCTGAGAAGCTGAAGTGTACTGTTCCTGTCTTGTGGGGAAATTGCATTTATTTATTTATCATCTCACTTTCCCGATAAAATGTTCCACGGCAGCTCACCCCGCACTCTTAAATTGCAACAAAAAGCAAATCAATAATCAGCTGTGATAGTTTTAAAAGGAAGATGGACAATCGATGGCTTAAACCCAAGGTTTCACACGCCAATAGAATTAAAATTAAGAGGTCAGGATGCTTCGTAAATACCTGTCTAAACGAAAAGCTTCAGCAAGTAGCAGAAGGCTGCCGGGGAGTGAGGCAGATCTAGAAATCCAACTTTCCTCTGTTTGAAAGGCCACCTGGTCCCAAGTTGTTGTTTTTTAAGATGAGGAATCCTAAGAAGGGAGAACAGGAAGTGGTCTTGGAGCTGCTCATAAGTACCTTGCATTCAGACATTCGAATTTTGGTAGAATGCATAGAACAGCCTTCACAGAATATCATAATGCAGAATGAAAGGCAGACCTGTTCCGCCTGGCCTTTGGGCTGGACTCAGTCTGACCCCCCTCTCATTTTTTATTTACTTTTTGATGGAACCCTTTATATGGGATTTTGTATATAAGTTTTCCCTCGGCTCTTTTTGCTGGCCCATGTAGGACCAGCATGGATAGTTGGCCCTGGTGAATATTTGAGGTTTTCTCCCCTTATGATTTTGATTTATGGACTACCACTAAAACAAGGCTGCATTTCAAGCTGTATTTTAAACTGTATTTTAACCTATATTTTAATCAACTGTTTGTTTGTTTGTTTGTTTGTTTGAAATGCTTTTACTGTGTTTTATATTTGGTGTTAGCCACCCTTAGCCCGGTCATGGCCGGGGAGGGTGGGGTATAAATAAAAATTTATTATTATTATTATTATGTTATAGTATATGTCCCATTTTTCATAGGAACAGCAGAAGCTACCCTATACCAAGTCAGACTCTTGGTCCATCTAGCTCAGGATTTTCTACACATTGGCAGGGGCTCTCCAAGGTTTCAGACAGGGGACATCCCCAACCCTACTTGGAGAGGCTGGGGACTGAATTTTCTGCATGCAGAGGAGATGTTCTACCATTGAACTATGGCCTTTCCTATAAAGGTTTATATAGCAAAAGGTCGATATCTCAGTCCCAGGCTGTATGGGCATTAAAAATCAGAGTGGTGACTCCCCTGAAGACTTCAGTGATCAGGCCAGGATATAAGGAATCAGGCTGCCCTTGAGGTATCCCGGAACCAAGTTGTTAATGGCCTTGTAAATTTCATACACACATACATAATTTTATTTGTATGCTACCTTTCCATAGTTAAAATCATGCTCAAGGGGGCTTACAACATGAAAAAAATGCATAATTACCAACATAACAAAATGGCCGTAAATAATATATAAGACATCAAAAAGTTAATAATAATAATGTATTATTATTATTATTAATAATAATAATAACTTATACCCCGCCCATCTGGCTGGGTTTCCCCAGCCACTCTGGGCTGTTCCAACAAAAGATTAAAAATACATTAAAACATCAGTCATTAAAAACTTCCCTAAACACAACCTAATTAAACAATTAACACATAAATCATAACAAGATCTAAAATGAAGTTGCAAAAAAATAATCAAAAACAGCAGCAACCCTGCCTGCAACTAAACCCTTAAACAACACCCCAATCCAATAGTTTATTCAGCAGCTTCAGCTTTTGTAGCTGGAGTCAGTCCGGGCCCCGCCCTCCAAAGCCAGGTGGGAAAAGGCCTGTAAGAGAAGGAGCAGGTCTTCCAGGGCTCACAGCCAAGATGGTAAAAGAATCTTGATACCTGACCCAGTAGTGTATATCCTATATCTATATCCTATATCCTATATCCTATATCCTATATCTATATATGTATATCCCATCTAAATGGGAACAGAGATTCTTCTTTAAGGTGTCAGAGGACAGATGGTAGATGGCTTAGACGTAGCCCTGTATCAGGACCATAATCTTATTAACTCTGAGTCTCCACAGAGCTGTACACTCGCACTGGCATCTACACAAGAAGCAAACAGATGGTCACTTAGCTCATCATCATGACACATGGCACTCTCTCTCTCCCACCTGCCTGCAGTACAGCAAACAAAGCCACTGAGGTCACTTGTGCATAAGCCACTTTCCTGGGGTCAGAGGGAAGCTCTTTTCCAGTCCCCACGCCTTGCCCTCCTTAGTAGCCCAGCGCACATCCTCAGTTCTTGCTGCAATGCATTTTTGTTGCCAGCAGGGGGAGCACTGCATGCACACCGATTTAAGAAGCACAGGTCACACTCCACACCATATATTTAAGCACTCTTCATCAGTTGTAAAGGTAAAGGAGCGACTCTGGGGTTGCGGTGCTCATATTGCTTTACTGGCCGAGGGAGCCAGCGTACAGCTTCCGGGTCATGTGGCCAGCATGACTAAGCCGCTTCTGGCAAACCAGAGCAGCGCACGCAAACGCCGTTTACCTTCCCGCCAGAGTGGTACCTATTGATCTACTTGCACTTTGACATGCTTTCGAATTGCTAGGTTGGCAGGAGCAGGGACCGATTAACGGGAGCTCACCCTGTCACGGGGATTCGAACCGCTGACCTTCTGATCGGCAAGTCCTAGGCTCTGTGGTTTAACCCACCCACGTCCCTAGCTGAAATGTTACCTTAGCTATAAACACACTGGGTAGCCTTCTGCAGCCATGAGGCTGGTTCCATGTTTGATGCCTTTTCTTTAAAATATATAGCAGGCCACTCTTTATCAATGGATTGTTTCAAATGCTCAGGCTTCCTCCTTCATTCAGCACATCTCATTTTTAGTTGCTGGGAGATGGGTGCCTCTGGCGCTAAACGAGGTCTATTTTTACTTTTTGCAAAACAGAATGGTAATGATTTCCTTTGGGAACATCCTAGGGCAATTTGTGAATAACTGGGACCAATTCCCGGTCTCACTTTTCGTTTCCTTTTTAAAAAGCAACATCAACCCTGCAGGAAAGTGGCTATCCCCGAAGCTTTATTCCTGTGAACCTCCAATATTGGGGGACTTCATTGCTTCTGTACTCTGAGGTGGAAGACATTTCTCCACATGGGTTTATCAAGTGCGATTGGTTGTTTAAGTGTCTAATGAAGATGTGAGGAAGCTTTAGCCCTCCAAATGTTGCTGAACTACAACTCCCATCGTCCCTGGCCATTGACCACACTTGCTGGTGCTGATGGGAATTGTAGTCCAGCAATACCTTGAGGGTCAGAGGTTCCCCACACCTTGTCTAATGCACAATTAGAGTTAGACAGACCCAATGTCAAACTGAAATTAGGATGCAACTCTGTCCTTTAGATCAGTCAGCCAAGGGAACTTAGAATTTGGAAGACACTTCCATTACAGTAGGAATGGGAACCTATGGCACTACAACTCCCATCTTCTCTATCCTATGCTTGCTGGAGCTGAGGGCATTTGGAGAGCTACAGGTTCTCCACCTGCTCCATCACAAGTTATGCTGTTCTCTTTTGTCCTCTAGTTGTATTGTTAGGTGACTTACCCCAACGACATGTACCTGCTTAGAGTACAGATCTGAAAGTTCACCTGTTTACAGCTATAAGATTTTTGATCATTGCCCAATGGAAGAGCATTAATTCTCCATCTATAGCAGCACATATCGATAAGGTGTAGTAAGTTCTAGCATCTGACTGAGTTACTTATTTAAGCGCATCATGAATCCCAGTTGTATTTTTGGAAATGCTAACCTGGTGGAACGTGGGATTTGTCACTGTCTTACATGAAGCTGCCCAGGCATGATGACAGAGCCATTCTGCCAGCAGAGAGACACCAATGTTCAGTGGGAAGACAAGGCAGAGTTCTACATTAAAACTGTTGGTGCCTTCGATTATTGATTGATTGATTGCCCAGCCCTTCCATCTTTTGCAGGCATCGGAGGTGGAAAAACAGCTCTCTATGCAGGTTCATGTCCTCCAAGAGGACTTCAGGGAGAAGAAGTCATCGACCAGCCAGCACATCGTACGACTCGAGAGCCTTCAAGCAGAGGTGAGTTCCTCCCATAGCTGGAATGGTCTATGGCAGTGGTAGAGAAGCTGGAGGGGAAGGCCCATGGCAAAATGGTAGAGGGTCCAAGGTTCAGTTCCCAATGGCATCTCCAGATAGGGCTGGGAAGAGCCGCTAGAGAGCCACTGCCAGTCAGTGTGGACAGTACTGAGCTAGATGGATCCACTGGTCTTATTCAGTATAAGGCAGCTTCCTATGCTCCTGTGATGGTCCAAAGGCTGCAGACAAACACACACGGCCTACCCTGACACTGCAGGCCCATACTTCCTCTACCCCTTTAAGAATTGGACTATAAAAAAGGTAAAGGGGCCCCTGACCATTAGGTCCAGTCGCGATGACTCTGGGGTTGCGGCGCTCATCTCGCTTTATTGGCCGAGGGAGCCAGTGTACAGCTTCCAGGTCATGTGGCCAGCATGACTAAGCCGCTTCTGGCGAACCAGAGCAGCACACGGAAACACAGTTTACCTTCCCGCCAGAGTGGTACCTATTTATCTACTTGCACTTTGACATGCTTTTGAACTGCTAGGTTGGCAGGAGCTGGGACAGAGCAACGGGCGCTTACCCCGTCGTGGGGATTTGAACCACAACCTTCTGATCGGCAAGCCCTAGGCTCCGTGGTTTAGACCACAGCGCCACCCGCACCCCATAATTGGACTATATTCCTCTAAGAATTGTTTGCTTTATCTGAAGAGTGTCTGTGTGTGTGTATGAGGGTGTGAGAGATAATGAGGTGGTGCAGGGAGTACTATGCAATCCTCCAAACACCTCCCACCATTGGTTTCACCCCCTAATTGATCCCCCCTGAAGTAATATGGTCTTCAATAGGGGGGGAAATCATCCACCAATCCCGGTCTATGGCCCATTTTGCAAGGATTCCAGAAACGGCAAGGCCACTATTGCAATTAAGACCAATTATGCATTCAGCACCATTAAATGGTGAAGCTCTTTCTGGAATGTTCCAGGTCAGCCACGCTGGCAGGGGTGGAAACTCCCTTTACATAGAATGATGAGGAAAAGCTTAAAGTAGACTGAATCTTACTTCTAGACCACTTAGAGTTGGAGTTTTCATGAATGTAAAGGGAGTATTTTTAGTTGGGGGGAAACCCAGCCAGATGGGCGGGGTATAAATTTTATTATTATTATTATTATTATTATTATTATTATTATTATTATTATTATTTATTATTATATCCAGTCCGCTGCTTTCTGGATTCTGAGGACACATTCACACCATACATTTAAAGCCCATTGGTTCCCTGCCCCCTTGGCAAGGAAAATGGGAACTGTAGTTTGTTAAGGGTGCTGGAAGTGTAGCTTTGTGAAGGATAAAAAAATACAGTTCCTATTATTCTTTGGGGGTTTGCCACATGCTTTCAATGTGTGTCGAATGTGCTTTAAACGTAAGATGTGGATGTGAGTAGAACTAGATTTTGAGTTCTTGCTCCTTTGGCAAAATTCTCCAGATTTCCGCTTTGATTCATGTTTCTAGACCTTATGGTTATAGAAATAACATATGGCACAGGCAAATATAAAATATCTGCTCAAAGAACCCAGAGGCTGGATCAATGCAACTTTGAGCAGGAACAGTAGCTTCTATATTTCTCTCTTCTCTTTTAGCTTTCTTTGGGCCCCCAGATCCTGCCCACCATGTTGAGACTCCTGTTTTCCCAATGACCCATGTGTCTATTCTTTTCTGTCCTTGTCTTTCTTCCCTTTCCCTCTTACTAAACAAAACAAAAAAGCTACAAAACCATCCAATATTGCAGCAAGGTGAAACGAAGTGGATAAATATTTGTTGCAGTTTTGCATAATTTACTCCACTTGTGGGGGTGAGTGTCTGCCATTTCTAGCATAGAATTATTTCCCCACTCTTCCTGGGGCAGCAAAAATGTCTCTTTGTCTTGCCCTACTTGATCCTCCTGGCCAAGTAGGTTGGCCATCATTGGCTTAAATGCAGAGATGGCTTTGTCTATAATTTGTGCTTTGTACCGTGATTGCACCTGCAGTGGTGCTAAGCTGAAGTAACGCATCAGTATATTTGTTCTGCAGGTGAACTGTTTTGTGCCGAAGGAAGGTTGTGCAACCAAATGCATAGGCAGGTTGCTGGTAGCTTTGTGTAAATAGCTTCTGCTCGTGCAACGTTGTACAACATGGGTTGGCAAACTAAGGCCCGGGAGGCAGATTTGGCCCGACTGCCTTCTGGATTTGGTCCATGGATAGTCCGGGAATCGCCGCGTGAATCGGCATGGGGATTCTGATCATTCGGGCTGTGCCATTCCTCCCCCACGCCGTGACAGCGCCTCCTTCCTCCCTCCTCCTGGCTTCTTCCTGCCCTGCATAGAGGAGGAAGGGGGCTGGGCTTTGTTGAGCCAGGGTTGGCTGAGTGCCATTTTAAGCAGCCCCTCTCCGGAACCAGCCCTTTTGTTCCGCTCATCATCCGTCTGCCGCCGCCAGCCCCTGCTGCTCACAAGGCACAGGTAAGCAACCACCGGGGCTCATCTGGCACTGTGGAGACAGTCGTGGGAGGGATTCCCCCCCCAATATAGTCTGGCACCCTACAAGGTCTGAGGGACAGTGGACTGGCCCCCTGTGGAAAAAGTTTGCTGACCCCTGTTGTACAACATTAAAACTCAACATCTGCTATAGTAGCCCTTGCTGAGAATGTTAGAGTCCAGTAGTATGTAGAGGGCCACAGGCTCCCGCCCCACTCTGTTTATTAAAAAAAAGGTTGGAGGGCTGGGATAATCATTTTGTTTTCTTGTTTTAGAAAAGGTTTCCCCTCCCCACCTTGAGCTTTTAGGTTTCTTGGTTTCTCCTCGTCAATCCTGACTTGTCCCCTTTCTCTCCTTCCCCGTTCCCTTCCTACTTGACTGTGGAGCAGCAAATCCTTGAAGTAAGTACAGAAGTGGTCCTAGGGTCTGAAATGCATGTCCATCAGCCTCCACTTCTTGCATGCCATGCTTGTGATGCTCTTCGTGTCTCTAGCTCTCTGGGTTCTTGGCTTCATCTTTTTCTTGTCTCTGCTGGTCTGCAAGAAGAGTTGGGGAGTTGGTACCCTCAGTGGAGGCTGGTCCGTTAGGGCTGGTCCACTACCTCCATTTCTTGCATGCCATGCTTGTGATGCTCTTCATGTCTCTAGCTCTCTGGGTTCTTGGCTTCCTCCATCTTCTTCTTGTCTCTGCTGGTCTGCAAGAAGAGTTGGGGATTTGGTACCCTCAGTGGAGGCTGGTCCACTACTCACGAATCCCAGTCTACCTTCAGTCAGCTCCCATCTGCCTGGCTTCTGACTTGTATCCAGTCCAGAGGGTGGCACTGCCTATCAGCTTCCTCCTCCTCCTTAGTCTCAATGTTGCCCCCATAGAACTTAGCAGGGGGGAGGATGGGGACAAAACTAGAATTGGTTGGCTCTGCCTCTCATTGACTCTAGCACCACCTACTGTTGGTCTCCCTTCCTTCTGCCCCACCAGTCCCAATGGGCACCAGCCACCACTGGGTGCAATCATTCATTGATAAAGGATGCTTTCATCATTGACATACGCATTGCTTTTAAGTCTTGGTATCTGTGTTGATATTTCTCTCTTCCAAAGACCTTAAGACAATGGCAGGGAAACCCAGGGTGTTGCTTGACTCCACCTGCCATCATCCCTGATCATGTTGGCTGCTGGGGCTAATGGGAGTTGAAATCCAATAACATCTCGCTGGTCACTGGTTCCCACCCCTGCCATTAAAAATTGCCAGGCTGGATAAAGCTATTTCATATATCTTTTTATACATAGTTTTATTTGTTGTTTAGTCATCTTAGTCGTATTCGACTCTCCGTGACCCCATGAACCAGAGCATGTCTTAGAAACTCTCCCTTTCTTCTCAAAGCTTCTCCTTTTTTATGTCCATGGAGTTTTCTTGGCAAAATACTGGAGTGGTCTGGCAGTTCCTTCTCCAGGTGGATCACATTTAGTCTAAACTCTCGGCTATGACCTGTCCGTCTTGGGTGGCCCTGTACAGCATAGTTTCTTGGAGTTATTCAAACCCCTTCACCACGACAAGGCAGTCATCTATGAAGGGGACATACAATATTTTTGGCTCCATAAGACGCACCTGACCATAAGACGCACCTAGTTTTTAGAGGGGGAATGCAAGGGGAAAAAAATTCTTTAAAGGGAGCGCTGAGCAGAGCCTATATGCATCCCAGGCTCTGCTCAGTGCTCCCTTTCACAAGCTGCACGGAGTGTGTGTGTGGCTCTTGGGGGCTTTTCCCCGAGGAGGGAGAAGGGAAGCCCGTCACCCTCCCTCAGGGAAAAGCCCCCAAGAGCCACACACACGCTCCGCGCAGCTCTTTAAAGGGAGTGCGGCTTTTGCAGGAGGTGGGGGAAGGAACAGAGCCGCGTGCTCTGTCCCTCCCCCACCTCCCACAAAAGCCAGGGATAGCTGTGCGCAGCCTCCACAGGGCAGCGGGATGAAGGCTCCCCGTGCCCTGCGGAGGCTTTGCATGGCTAAGCCAGAAGCTAGAACAGCAAGTTCTGGTTTCTGGTTTAGCCGCACAGCCTGCATTAGCTCCATAAGACGCACACACATTTCCCCTTACTTTTTAGGGAAAAGGTGCGTCTTATAGAGCAAAAAATACAGTAGTTTTCTACATCTCTATAATATCCCCCCTTACTTGCCTTCTTTCAAAACTAAAAAGCCCCAAACATGGTAACCTTTCCTCATAGGATCATTTTGACTGCCCTTTTCTAAACCTTTTTAGAACGTGATGACCAGAATTGTACATCAGTACCGTGGTACCTCGGTTTACGAACTTAATCCATTCTGGAAGTCCGTTCTTAAAGCGAAACTGTTCTTAAACCGAGGCGTGCTTTCCCTAATGAGGCCTCCCGCCGCCAGTGCCCTTCCACCGTTCGGATTCCGTTCTTAGACTGAGGTAAAGTTCACAAACCAGCACACTACTTCCAGTTTTGCGGAATTTGTAAACCGAATAGTTCGTAAACAGGACTGTTTGTCAACTGAGATACCACAGTAATGGGGAACCTCTAGTCCCCCACAGGTCTCATTAGGCCCTGCAGGGGACCTAATTTGGCTTCTGAGACCACCAAACCCAAGTTGCACCTCTTTCCCACACGGCTGCCAAGGAGCAACTGGGAGCTTTAAGTGCCCTCTTAATAGTTCCTTGGCAAGGAGAGGCTTGAATCTGGCAACAAATGCATGCCTCACTCGGATTGGTTCCACTTGGGAGCTGCTTGTCAGTGATGACTACAAATCCCACCTCCTTTGCCTGTGTGATTTGAAATCAAACCACGCTGGCAAAGGAAAATGTTTCTACTGATGTGGTGATCTGAGGTGGTTGGCGGGTGCGCGTACATAGTATGACCCCTGCTGTACACAGTATTCCAATTGTGGTTGCACCATAAAATTGAATTTATCTAATTTGCAATTTTATATACCACTTTTCATTGTCTTAAGTCTCACAGTGGCTTACAGTGATAAAAAAAGAAAACATTCAAAATTTAAAATATAAATTAAACCTAATTCTCAGAAATTGGAAATCTCAGAAATTTAAACATAAAATATAAGATTGTTTATTAAAAAAATCAGAACACCGTTCAAAGACCTGAAATAAAACAGTTTTAACTAGACATCTAAAACTCAGCTGATTTTATTTTTGATCCCTTTCCTAATGATCTCTAACATGGAAGACGCCTTTTTCACAGCTGCTGTACACCTTGTATATCTAGAAATTGGGTTTTTCTTTCTGCTGAAGAAGAGCTCTGAATGTCTCAAAACATTTTTTTGGTTCTTTTAAAGCGTGTCTGCACTCTATATCGCACCTAGCCTTTCTCTGACTTACATATTTCTGAGGGGTTTTTCAAAAAATTCTTTATGGGGCCTTTTGACCTTCTTGTGTGAGAAACAGACTGGATAACGGGAAGGGTCTGGAACTGGTGAACTGAGATTTGTGTACTAAAGAATTACAGACAACAGGACGGATGTGAGTAATAAAACATAAACTGTACGGGCAGAAAATCCCTTCAGTGGCACTGGATAACCTTGGGGAATGCTGAAAATTTCGCTGACTCTCCCACACGGGGACTGAGAATGCTACTCTTGGACCTTTGCTTTTAAAAGTCTGCCGTCCACTTGTAGTATCTTTGCTGGGACAGGGTTTTGTTTACCAGCCTCTGCTGGAGGTTGCAGAGACAGAAAAGGTTCTCAACAGGAAACATCAAGAAAGTGGAGACTGGTCCATTGGGGCAAATAGGGCACTGCCCCACTAATCTCAGTCTGCCTTCAGCCACAGCCCCTACTTGCCTACCTTCTTATAATCAGCCCTGGCTGTCAAGTTCCTCCTCCTTAGTCTCAGGGTTGCCCTTGTAAATCTCAGCAGGGAGTTGGAGGATGGGAACAAAATTAGCATCTGTTGCCTTTGCCTGTCATCGGCTCTGGCGCCACCTACTGTTGGGCTCCTTGGCTACCGCCCTACCAGTCCCAATGGGCCCATATCAACATCAGTTGAAGCCTACTTGTTCTCTGAAAGCTGCTGTTTTTTATTGCCTTCCTTAAACATTATTTTTTAAAAAAAAAAATTCTTGCCTCTTCATCCTGCGTTTCCCACCATGGAACCCAGGTGAAATATACTCAGAGTGAAATATACCGTATTTTTCGCTCTATAAGACGCACCAGACCACAAGACGCACCTAGTTTTTGGAGGAGGAAAACAAGAAAAAAAATATTCTGAATCTCAGAAGCCAGAACAACAAGACGATTAGCTGCGCAGCGAAAGCAGTGATCCCTCTTGCTGTTCTGGCTTCTGGGATAGCTGTGCAGCCTGCATTCACTCCATAAGACGCACACACATTTCCCTTTACTTTTTAGGAGGGAAAAAGTGAGTCTTATAGAGCAAAAAATATGGTACTCAGAGTCGAGAGTGGATTTCATGCTCTTTATTCAGCTCATAGTGGTGAGGAGGGAATGAAAGTCCCCTCAAAGTATCTGCTTTATATACATTATTTACACAATGGGCTGCACGTGATTGGCTAATTCCGGAATTCTCCTGTAGGCCAATCAGGTTGTGGATTCACTTCTATCTGGAGCTGGATTGGGTGGCTCCTGCCAACCAATCATACTGCTGCATTGTTCTAGGACCAATCAGACTGCTGCATTCTGAATCCTATTGTTCTAGGACCAATCAGACTGCTGCATTTTGGATCCTATTGTTCTAGGACCAATCAGACTGCTGCATTTTGGATCCTATTGTTCTAGGACCAATCAGACTGCTGCAGTTTGGATCCTATTCAACTCAGTACATAACACCAGGCATCATAGCATGTGGTTTCCAGGCAGTCCTCCATCCAGGCCCTGGCCAGAGCTGCTTAGCTTTGTTAAGGTGATACCCTCAGATGTGCCTTCAGATCATGGCCGGGACCATTACTGATGTCAAGGGAAAGGGCAGTAGCTCACTGGTAGAGCAGCTCTTTTGTAAGCAGAAATTCCCAAGCGATCAACAGAATGGCCAAAAATGTTTAAACAAGAACTAATGTAAGCTAGAGAGCACTTTTGTGTGGACTAGAAGTCATCGCCTCAAGAGTAGTTCAAGTACAATCCCAGGCATCTCCAGGTACTGCAAGGAGAGAGCCACTGCCAGTCAGCATAGACAATTCTGAGCTAGATGGACCAGTAGTCTAAATCAGGCGTGTCCAACTCCCAAGAGACTGTGATCTACTCCCAGTATTAAAAAAAATCTGGCAGTGAGCTATCCCAGGGGTAGGCAACCTAAGGCCCAGGTGCCAGATATGGCCCAATCGCCTTCTAAATGCGGCCCGTGGACGGTCCGGGAATCAGCGTGTTTTTACATGAGTAGAATGTGTCCTTTTATTTAAAATGCATCTCTGGGATATTTGTGGGGCATAGGAATTCGTTCATTTTTTTCTTTGGCCTGGGATTCCGATTCGGAGGATGAAACAGAGGAATCCCGGCCTGCACAGGAGTCCCCGCCTCCAGGGCCGGCTGAACTGGGGCAAGGCCTTGATGCTGAAGAGCCTGCACCTGTGGCAGTGCATCAGGAGCTGGCCCCAGGTGAAGCCCTTCGGGCCCCAGAGGGCTTGATGACTCAGTGGCCACAGGTGAGCCTCCTCCAGGGCCCAGTAACCCTTCGGCCTCTCCTGATCTGCAGAGGCTTAGGGCAGAGAGGCGAAGGGAACTGGTTGCCCCCAGGAGGAGTGCTCGCCTTAAGGCCAGAGGAGGCGGGGCTCCTGGGGACCGGGACCGCCCCTGGCCTTAGAAGAGGATAAAAGCCCAGTCAGCCCGGCCCCAGGTTGCGGGAGCAACGTCGTTGTTGGCATCGGACCTTCCTGTGTTCCTGATCCCTGCTCGGCTTCCTGTTCCTGACTATCCGGTACTCCTGTTCCCTGCTCGGCCTCCTGTTCCCGACCATCCGGTGTTCCTGTTCCCTGCACAGCCTCCTGTTCCAGCATTCCTGTTCCCCGCCCGGCTCTCTGCCTCGGACCTTGCCCCTCTTCGTGTGGACTCTGCTACACCCAAGGTACCTTACCCCGGGACCAGCACAGTTTGCTCCCGCCCAACCCGCACTCCCCTTCGTAGGGGTGCGTTCGGGAAGAGCCAGAGGCCATGGCTGACCAGGCGGCTGCACTGGTGGCTTTGGCCCAGAAGAACCAGGCCTTGACTCACACCGTGCAGCAGCTCAGTGACGCGGTTGTGGCACTTCAGCAACGCTTGGAAGCCCTACCGGCTCCTGGGGCCGACGCCTCGGCTCCTGGCAAGTACCCAGTGGCTTTGCCTGAGAAATTTGATGGAGCCCCGGCCAGCTTTCCCATGTTCCTGGCCCAGGCCAAGCTGTATATTCAGGGGCGAGCCCGGAACTTTCCTGACGACCGCACCAAGGTGCACTTTTTGATTAGTTTGTTAAAGGACCAGGCGGCCAGAGTGGGCGTTGCCGCTACTCAGGCAAGACTCCCCTTGCTGGCAGACTATACGGGGTTTGCAATCGTTTGGAGGCCGCGTTCGGCAGCCCCCAGAAAGGAGTCAAGCCAACCGGGCGATTCGGCGTTTGAAACAGGGCAAGTCCACGGTGGCCGCATATACCACGGAGTTTCGGCTGTTGGCACAGGACTTGACCTGGAATGATTCGGCACTGCGGGACCAGTATCTCGACGGGCGTTTGGACGAGGGACTGGACCAGTTGGCCACAATGGAACGCCCCACCACGCTAGAGACTCTCATTCAACGGAGTGGACGAATAGACGACCGGGTGGAGGATCGTCGTCAGGCCGGGGTCGCCGACACTTCCAGTTCACGGCACCAGCTTTTCCGGCAGCCCCACGGTCCCACCTGATTTAACGGAGGAGCCTATGCAGCTCGGGGCAGTGCGGCCACGCCTTTCCCCCGCAGAGAAGGCGCGGCGTCGGGAGGGAAATCTCTGTCTTTACTGTGGCGGAAGTGGACACTTCGCTCGGTCTTGCCCTGAGAACGCCAGCCGCAGAAGCCGCCAACCCCAGTAGCTGATGGCCCTAGCTGCCGGGGTCCCAAACCGCGCAGAATGGGCCTGCATCAATGGACTCGCAACATCTTATGGTTCCGGTACGTTTATACCCTCCAGGTGGGCCCTGGATCCCCACCCATGCTTTGGTGGATTCAGGGCAACCCGCTCTTATATGGACGCTGCTTTGCCGCCCATCATCAGGTGCCACTCGGAACAAGCCAGTACCGGTCCAGGTGGAAGCGATTGACGGACGACTTCTGTGTTCAGGTGCCGTTACTCAGGAGACCCAGCCCCTGGTCCTGTGTTTCCAGCAGCACCGGGAGTTGCGAACTTTGGACATTGCCTCTATGCCCACTTCCCCCTGGTGCTCGGGATGGACTGGCTGGAAGCCCACAACGTTCAGATTCACTGGGTCAAACGGACCGTGCACTTCCCAGACCCATGTTCCCGTGCTCCAATCCGGGACGCTGGCTGCCGCGCCCTCAGAGGAGGCAGCACCCACGCTCTCTGCCGTGTATCAGGACTACCAGGACGTGTTCGAGGAGCGGGGGCAGACCAGCTGCCGCCGCATCGGCTTCTGACTGCGGCATAGACCTCCAGCCCGGAGCGCCTCTACCAGTGAGTCGCTTATATTCTCTAACAGAGCCAGAGCGCGAGGCTTTGCAGGACTTCTTGCGCAAGAACCTGGAGCGTGGGTTCATTAGGCCGTCCACCTCGCCTACCGCGGCACCCCTGCTTTTCGTTAAGAAGAAATGTGGGAACTCCGCCCTTGCCAGGATTACCGAGCCTTGAACAAAATTACCGTCCCAGACCGATCCCCCTTGCCCCTTATCTCGGAGCTGCTGGAGCGGGTGCAAGGGGCACAGGTGTTCACCAAGCTGGACCTCCGGGGGGCCTACAACTTGATTCGGATCCGAGCCGGGGATGAGTGGAAGACAGCGTTTGGGACCCGGTACGGGCAGTTCGAATATTTGGTTATGCCTTTCGGGTTGTGCAACGCGCCTGCTGTGTTCCACGCTACATCAACCACGTGTTTCAGGACTTGTTAGACAAGTACGTGGTGGTGTATTTGGATGACATACTGATTTACTCCCGTGACCCGGCTCGCCATGAGGGACATGTCCGGACCGTGCTGCAGCGCTTGCGTGAGCACCGTTTGTACGCAAAGCTCAGCAAGTGCGAGTTCCATCAGCGGACTGTGGACTTCCTTGGTCACCGGCTCTCTCCGGATGGGGTGCAAATGGACCCGGGGAAGGTGACAGCGGTTCAAGAATGGGCGGCACCCCGGAACCGCAGGACCTGCAACGTTTCCTGGGGTTCGCCAATTACTACCGGACCTTCATCGCTGATTATGCTCATCGCACCACCCCGTTGACCCGGCTACCGCGCCCCAAAGACGCCGTTTTCCTGGGACAAGGAGGCAGAGGAGGCGTTTCAGGGGTTGAAGGCCTGTTTCCAGAGGGCACCAATCTTACAACATCCTGACCCCTCTCGACCCTTTGTGGTGGAGACCGACGCCTCCAGTACGGCTCTCGGTGCCGTCTTGTCTCAACAGATTGGGCCCGAGCGCCACTCTTACCCTGTGCCTTCTAGTCCCGCCAGCTCCTACCAGCGGAGCGTAACTATACTGCGGGGGAGGGGTAACTACTGGCCATCAAGGTAGCCTTTGAGGTCTGGCGCCACCATCTTGAGGGGCACGACATCCGGTGGAGGTAAGAACCGACCACCGGAACCTGGAGTACCTCCAGACCACCCGCAAGCTGAACCAAAGACAGATCCGGTGGGCGTTGTTCTTTTCCCGGTTCCAGTTTCGGATCCGCTACATCCCTAGCTCTCAGAATCTGAAGGCGGATGCCCTGTCCCGGAAACCTGAAGACAACGCAGACACGGTACAGCAAGCAGAACCCGCCACGATCCTACCTCCGGCCGCATTCCTGGCCACCCAGGAGGCGCAGCCACTGCAGGTTCGGGTGCGGGAACAGCAGCGGGTCGGCGCTTGGGCCCAGGAACGACTCCGGGAGCTGGCTGAAGGGTCCAGCCCACAGTATCCGGGGCTGGTCCTGCATCAGGGCCTCCTGCTGCACCACGGTCGTCTGTCACATCCCGCCAGGGCCACTGCGGCTGGAGGTTCTCCGGATGGCCCATGATGCCCCGGCAGCGGGGCACTTTGGACGGTATCGGACCACCCATCTGGTCAGTCGTGAGTTTTGGTGGCCCCGCCTGAAGGCTGACGTGGCTCGCTACGTTGCTGGTTGTGATGTCTGCCGACGCGCCAAGGGGCCTACCGGGCGACCTACCGGCCTACTTCAGCCATTGCCAGTTCCACCGCGCCCTTGGCACACAGTTTCGTTGGACTTTGTAGTGGACTTACCCTCGTCTCGTGGCTGTACCTGCCTTCTGGTTTTCTCCGACCATTTCACCAAGATGGTGCACTGCGCTCCCTGTCCATCTGTACCCACAGCCAAGGAAACTGCTCAGCTGTACCTGCCGCATGTCTTCCGCCTGCATGGACTACCTGAGCGCGTGGTGTCCGACCGGGGCGTTCAGTTCACATCCCGGTTCTGGCGAGCATTACACCAGACCCTCGGGACAGAGGTCTGCCTCTCGTCAGCCTACCACCCACAGACCGATGGCCAGACGGAGCGGGCGAGCGCGGTGCTGGAGCAGTACCTCCGGTGTTACTGCAGCTACCAGCAGGATGACTGGGTCGACCACCTGGCATTGGCGGAGGTCGCCTATAACACCGCGGTGAATGCGTCCACCCAGCAGACCCCGTTCCAGGCCAGTTATGGTTATCATCCACGGCTGTTTCCAGAGGTGCTGCCGGCATCCGCGGTCCCGGCGGTGACGGAGTGGCTTCAAGAGCTCCAGTCCCAGCAACAGCTTTTGGTGGAGCAACTGCACCAGGCCAAGGAAGCGTACAAAGCCCAGGCCGACCGCCACCGCCAGGTGGGGCCGGAACTTCGCGTCGGTGACCTGGTTTGGCTCTCCACTCGCCACCTCCACCCCTCTCGACCTTCGCGGAAGTTGGACGCCCGCTTCACCGGCCCGTTCCCTATCGTAGACCAAATCTCTCCTGTGGCATTCCGTCTCCGGTTACCCGCACCCCTGAAGGTTCACCCGGTCTTCCACAGGTCCCTTTTGAGTCCGGTGGCCCCACCCGGCAGAGTTCCACCAGAACCGTCCCCGACCGCAGCCAGTGTTGGTTCGGGAGAGCCTGAGTACGAGGTGGAGCGCATCCTGGACTCCCGATACCGCAGGGAAAGCTGCAGTATCTCATTGACTGGAAGGGGTACGGACCGGAGGACCGTTCCTGGGAACCAGCGGCCAATGTCCATGCACCTGCCTGCCTCCGAGAGTTCCATGCGACGTATCCCGGCAAGCCGGGTCCGGACCCTCGGTTGAGGGGGCCTGGGAGGGGATGGTGTGATGGCCTGGGATTCCGATTCGGAGGATGAAACAGAGGAATCCCGGCCTGCACAGGAGTCCCCGCCTCCAGGGCCGGCTGAACTGGGGCAAGGCCTTGATGCTGAAGAGCCTGCACCTGTGGCAGTGCATCAGGAGCTGGCCCCAGGTGAAGCCCTTCGGGCCCCAGAGGGGCTTGATGACTCAGTGGCCACAGGTGAGCCTCCTCCAGGGCCCAGTAACCCTTCGGCCTCTCCTGATCTGCAGAGGCTTAGGGCAGAGAGGCGAAGGGAACTGGTTGCCCCCAGGAGGAGTGCTCGCCTTAAGGCCAGAGGAGGCGGGGCTCCTGGGGACCGGGACCGCCCTGGCCTTAGAAGAGGATAAAGCCCAGTCAGCCCGGCCCCAGGTTGCGGGAGCAACGTCGTTGTTGGCTCGGACCTTCCTGTGTTCCTGATCCCTGCTCGGCTTCCTGTTCCTGACTATCCGGTACTCCTGTTCCCTGCTCGGCCTCCTGTTCCCGTGGATAGTGTCTTTGACGCTACAAACATGAGTCTGACCAAACTGCAGGAGGCAGTGGAAGACAGGAGTGCCCGGCGTGCTCTGGTCCATGGGGTCACGAAGAGTCGGACACGACTAAACGACTAAACAACAACAACCATCACACCCCTTATATTCTAGCTTGGACTCTGAGATCATGTAGAGGCGTGCTGTTCGTTGTATTAGAGGCCCAGCTTGGCTCAACTAGAAATCAGGCATTTAGTGTTGTGGGTCCCATGCTGTAGAACGCTCTTCCAGCAGAGATTCGGCACACACCCTGTGACTTCTACGCATCCCCTTTCTATGCTGGCAGGCCTTTGTAGCTGTCTAATTTTTGTTTTTGGATTAGCCAGTTACCGCAACGGTTATCTGCATTTTTATTTTTGTCAGTGGTGTTTTACGTTTTAACATTCAACACTATCCCAGTACTTTATGATCTGGCAGAATGAAAACACTTTTATCAATAAATAAAGAACAGAGTTACAGGGACAGGCCCAGATCCCAACTCTGCCAGGACTGTTACAGAACCTAATAATATCACTTACAACATTAGGGGCTCCTTCGCCTGCTCATCTTTCAATGTGGTATATATGCTGTCATCTGCCAGTAGCGCCTTCTGCATTACGACAAATAGGCCAGACTCTTCTATGCAACAGAATAGGTAAAGGAGCTCTGACCATTAGGTCCAGTCGTGGCCGACTCTGGGGTTGCAGCGCTCATCTCGCTTTATTGGCTGAGGGAGCCGGTGTACAGCTTCCAGGTCATGTGGCCAGCATGACTAAGCCGCTTCTGGCGAACCAGAGCAGTGCACGGAAACACCGTTTACCTTCCCGCTGGAGTGGTACCTATTTATCTACTTTGCTCTTTTCAAACTGCTAGGTTGGCAGGAGCAGGGACCAAGCAATGGGAGCTCACCCCGTTGTGGGGATTCGAACCGCCGACCTTCTGATCCACAAGCCCTAGGCTCAGTGGTGTAACCCACAGCGCCACCCGCGTCCCTTTTATGCAACAGAATAAATGGACCCAAATTTAATTTTAGAAACAGCAATAGCCCCAAACCAATGTGTGGACATTGAAACTTTCCAAGAACACCCTGTGACTGACCTTGAGGTAGACCATCCTTGAACAAAAAAAAATCTTCAGAGTAGTTTTTAAGATGCCACAAGACTCTTCATTGTTTTGACAAAAGAAATTCCTTCACATCATGTGCCTGTCGGAGCATATCTACATAGGAATAGCCTTGCTGGATGAGAACTGAAATATACTCGGAGTTGAGAGTGGATTTCATGCTCTTTATTCAGCTCATAGTGGTGAGGAGGAATGGAAGTTCCCCCAGGCTGTCTGCTTTATATACATTATTAACACAATGGGCCCCACGTGATTGGCTAATTCCGGGATTCTCCTGTAGGCCAATCAAGTTGTGGATTCACTTGGGGCTGGATTGGTGGCTCCTGTGGACCAATCAGACTGCTGCATTCTGGATCCTATTGTTCTAGGACCAATCAGACTGCTGCCTTTTGGATCCTATTCAGTTCAGTACATAACAAGAACAAACTAGTCCAGCATCTTTTTCTCACAGTTACCAGCCAGGTGCCCCCATGGGAGGGATCTGGAGTTGTGTCAACCCAACCCAGCCAAATCTGACTAGGAATTGCCCAGAATTGGTTCAGGTTCTGGGCTTTGATTGAATATGGTGCACATCCCTTATACTGTACACACATACACATATTGAGATTTCCAAGCTGACTTAGCTGCAGCAGTCACAAAATGCAATCATTTCACTACAAACCATTGACAATTTAAACATTAAATTAAAGCTTTTTAACAGAGAGAGGGATCTTTTCTCTCTCTTTTTTACAGTACTGAGTTTTACTTTTTTAAAAATTTTTATTCTTTTATATAATAATAGTAAAATAAATAATAATATACATTTAGAGGGGGGGACTGAAGAATGAACAATAGTAAATCCCAGTGTAATTTGTTCAAAGAAAATAAATAGACTGTATTATACCTAAATTAATGTTATGGATTTAGGTGAGATCTATAAATGTTTATGTGCCACACTGGAATCTCTGAATACTGGGTGCTAGGGACAAATAGAAGAAAGCAGTTATCATCGGGGTCTGCTTGTGAGCTTCCAGAGGCAACTTGGTGGCTGTTACTGGTAAATGAGTGTAGCCAGGGTGATGTAATGGTTAGAACACGGGTAGCCAACCTGGTGCCCTCCAGATGTTGTTGGACTCCAGCTCCCATCAACCCTAGCCAGCATGTCCAATGGTCAGAAATGATGGGATTTGTTATGTACTGATGTTCTCACCCTGGGCCAGCAGGGGGATACTGTAGATAGTTTTCACTCAGGTCCACATATGCAAATAAGGGATTGAAAGTGACGTTCAGTGATTGGAAAGTGTTACAGTTGCATTGTAGTGGAGCTCTATATAAGCAGGCTGACTGAACCCCTCAGTTCAGTTCTGTTCTGGCCTGTGAATAAACAAGAGCTGTTTGAAGAATCGCTGTGTCGTCTGATATGTTCACCCACAACTTAACAGGAGTTACAGAGTGGGAAAATCTGGAGGGCACCACAATGCCTACCCCTCAGTTGAAGTGCTGGCCATGGACTGGGGGAACCCAAGTTCAAATCCCCACGCAGCTGTGAACCTCACCGGGTGACCTTGGGCCAATCGCCTTCCCTCTCAGCTTCTAGGGATATAAAAATGAGTTTCTGCAACACACAATGAGGATTCGTGAACATTATACAGCATTAACTTAAGTGTTAGCTGCAGGTTTTGGTGGGTGATTTTATTGTACTGAACCTTTGAGAATTTGATTTGGGTAGGGGAGAACTATGTGCTCTGTTTTGAACTCCTTGGAGAAAAGGAGAGCTCAAATCTCCACTTGGACTTGAAGCTCCATGGGTGACTTCAAACCAGTCAGTCTTTCAGCCTAACCTACCTCGCAGGGTTGTTGTGAAGACACAAAGGGGAAAAGGGGGAGGGGTGAACCATGCACACTGTATTGGTACCTCGGGTTACAGACGCTTCAGGTTACAGACTCCGCTAACCCAGAAATAATACCTCAGGTTAAGAACTTTGCTTCAGAATGAGAACAGAAATTGTGCGGTGGCAGCGGGAAGCCCCATTAGCTAAAGTGGTGCTTCAGGTCAAGAACAGTTTCAGGTTAAGAACGGACCTCCGGAACGAATTAAGTACTTAACCCGAGGTACCACTGTACTTTAAAGTCCTTGGAGGAGTTCAAATAGATATTGGTGTAAAAGTAAAAGAAAAGAAGCAACAGTCTTTGGCCTGAAGCAGCAAGAAGGCCTCTTCCCAAATCTGACGGGGCTGTTTAGGTACCTGGAATCCAGACCATGGAAATTCCCCCACATTTGGCTACCTAAAAGAAAAAAGGGGAAAGGCCCATTGTGGAAAGCAGTTGCATAAACAAATCTGTTTGTGCTTTGAAGGTGTAAGCAAGGTGCTCCGTGAGCAGACTGAGAGAGGGGCAAGGCGTCCTTTCCTGGCGTTTTATCTCTCTTGGGAATTCCAGAGAACACAGTGGCCTGGCTTTCCTCCTTCCCTCCCTCCTCCTTTGCCTGGCAACCCACATTCCAGCTCTCTAAGAGTTTAAATTCCTCCCCCACACTCTCTCTTTCTCGCCTCTCCAGACAAGTTTCTGGCAAGGGGGAAAGCGGACTCCTCTTTTGACCACAGGTGCAGATAGATTTTGCATTCATTTCTCTCCTTCGCTACACCTGGCCGAGTACTCATTCTTTGCAGACTGGGAAATTGCAAACTCTTGAGACTTACTTTTGGGGTTCCTTTTCGTCCCCCCTTCCTCCACTTTCAGATTAAGATGCTTACAGATAGGAAGCACGAGCTGGAGCGTCGGCTGAGTGCCATGATGGAAGAAAACAATCTTCTTCAGGGAACGGTGGAGGAGCTTCAAGATCGCGTGTTGATTTTGGAGCGGCAGAGTCACGAGAAGGACATGCAGGTATGGGGGAACAGGGGCTTGGGAAAAGGGGGAGACAGCTGGAAGGAAGGGACTGATTTAAAATATTATTATTATGATTGAGCGATGCCGCCGGATCACCAGTTTGGGAACAGGAAGGTAATATTGTGAGGCTTGAGCAACCTGATAATGGACTTTTACTAGTGTTGCAGGAATTTATGTATAGGTTGGGGGGGGGTTGCCCCTTCAGCAGATATCATGCACATGCAGCCCACTACCAAAACCAGCACAATCACTTTTGTGACTTTTGTGATTTGTCCCCACAAAACACTTCACAGTTTCTTCCTGCCTATTCAAAGGGCCTTTGCTGCACGATACCAAATGTAACAATTCAATGATAAATGTATCTATGTACTGGCTCACTGGGAAAACTTCAGAAATTCATATAGACATGTGAGCTCAGCTATTCCGCAGCCCCTCTGCCTGAGTGATAATTCCTGGCATCCTGATACCTGAGTGCCAGACAGGTAGCCGTTCCAGAAATAACAAACGAGATGAAGACAAAAGGGTGTGATTAACTTGATTAATTTACAGGGAAATGTAAATATCTTTTCGTTAGACTTGATGGGTGTTTGGTGGAGGGCAAGGGGAACCATGGGGCAGGGTCCAGGATGCTCAGATTACTGCCACCAGACTTCCCCTTTCATGATGTAACCGTGATGTATGAGTGATGTAGTTTCGGGGGGTGTAACATGGGGATTAGGTAAAGGTAAAGGGACCCCTGACCATTAGGTCCAGTCGTGGCTGACTCTGGGGTTGCGGCGCTCATCTCGCTTTATTTACCGAGGGAGCCGGCGTACAGCTTCTGGGTCATGTGGCCAGCATGACTAAGCGACTTCTGGCGAACCAGAGCAGCGCATGGAAATGCCGTTTGCCTTCCTGCCGGAGTGGTACATATTTATCTACTTGCACTTTAACGTGCTTTCAAACTGCTAGGTTGGCAGGAGCAGGGACCGAGCAACGGGAGCTCACCCCGTCGTGGGGATTCAAACCGCCCACCTTCTGATCGGCAAGTCCTAGGCTCTGTGGTTTAACCCACAGCGCCACTTGCATCCCTTCAACATGGGGATTAGCAACTAATAAAAGTTTGGGGGCTCTTTTGTTTGGGGCTTCTATCTTGTTCCACCTTGTGGCAGGTGGGAGTCCTGTCGCGACAATCTTCAATAAAGACCAAGCCTACTGGCTGCTGTTTTGTTCTGGTATTCCTGGGTGGTGTCCTTGTTTTTTGTCCAAAGTAGCCCTCAGATTTCTGCGTTAACACTAGGAACCAGTATGACATCGGTGGGAGGAAAGGGAAACCCATGGCCCTCCACATATCCCTGGACTACAACTCCCATCATTCTTGACCATTAACCACATGGGTCGGAGTTAATGGGAGCTGGACTCCAATGAAATCTGGAGGGCTACAGATTCCCATTCACTGCTGCATATTCTCGAAGGCTGCTGCTGCAATCCTAGACCTGCTTCCCTTGTAGTGAGCCCCACTGAATTCAGTAGGACTTCCTGTTCAGAAAACATGTATTTTAGTTTATTATTATACTTCACAAAAACGTGTATGCCGCTGAACAGTAAATATAACCTCTTGGTTTACAGATAATATAAAATATTCATTAAAATTGGATTGAGTTATATTTATTATGGGTAGCGTTGATTTGTTTATATGCCCAATTTACCATATTTTTTCGTCTATAAGATGCCCCCATGTATAAGACGCCTCTTATTTTGGGGGAGATTTAAGAAAATGGGGGGAGATGTATCCGTGTATAAGACGCTTCCCTAATTTTTGACATTATTTTTAGGGGGGAAACCTAGTCTTATACACAAAAAAATACGGTATTTTCTGTCTCTTAGTGTTTAATTGTCCCCACAAAGCAGCATGCAAAGCTTTCTATCCAACCTAAGTTGGACTTGCTGAAATTAATGAATCCAAGACAGCCATGCCCATTATTTTTAATGAGTGAGTAAGATTAACTGGATACAGCTTAAAACTTTGTAAAATACAATAATGATGATTAAAGCAAAAGGATATGATCATCCAGTTAAAACCACATTATGCCCCCTTAAACGTGAACAATAGCTGTTAAAGCATTAGCAGTGAATAAAAGCAACAGCAGTGGTTAAAAAACAGACTGAAATAAAGGGCGTTTGAGCTGTTTTGGAGCTATGCAATGTTTTTAAAAGACGTGTAGGGTTGTGTTGTAAAAGCCTCATTTATGCTTTTTTAATTGTTTACCTAAAAACAAAAACACAATGTTGTGAATACAGTGAACAGGTGTAAAGGCATGCTAATTTTAACTAATAAAATACTGGCATCATACAGGCATGTGAAGCTGTGGGAATCCCTCCTCACAGAGGTGTGTCTGGCACATTCAAAATGCAGTTTTTGTGAAATGCAGATATATATTTTAAGACCCACCCTATTCTTCTGATTGTAAATTGTTTTAACTGGTTTTTAGCTTGTATTTTATATTGCTGAAGCCTGCTCTGTGACCTTATGGTGAAGGGTGGATGATGATGATGATGATGATGATAATAATAAAATAAATGAAGAATATATCTTTATAATTTCTTGTGCCAGTTGCATCAGAACCAGCTAGAACTTCAGGAGGTGAGACTGTCTTATCGGCAACTGCAGCTCAAGGTAGATGAACTCAGCGAGGAGAGAAGCCTCCAGAATTTCAACTCTACCAGCACGTCACTGCTGTCAGAGATTGAGCAGAGCATGGAGGCCGAGGAACTGGAGCAAGAGAGAGAACAGGTAGCATCAAAACTCTTGGCTCCAGAAGAATTGGGGGCAGCACAGGTGTGTTTAAATGTGTGTGGTAGAGCCATAGTGGACTTCCTTCCTAAAATCCTCCGTCCGCAAATGTTTGTGTTGCACATTCCCTGAATACTCCGGTGTTTCCTGAATGTTCCTGATCTGCATTTGACAGCCAGTCATCAACTTGATTTCTCAGTATGTGCTGTTTTATGGTTGGCACACAATATTATTTAATACTAATAATTTATTTGCTGGTAGGGGGGAAAGGGTAATCAATTCCACAAGGACAAGCTATGTGTCAAAAGTCATGCCTAGCTTGGCCCCAAGTGTGCTTCTTTGTTTGAAATATATGGAAAAGTGCCACCCCAGGTCAAATGGAGACTGGTCCATTAGGGCAACAGGGGTACTTCCCCACCAACCTCAGTCTGTCCTCAGCTGGCCCCAATTGCTTGCCTCTCCCTTAGACTCAGTGTTGTCCTTCTAGAACTCAGCAGGGAGGAAGTTGGGGGCAAGAGTAGGGTTCATTGGCGCTGCCTGCCATTGGCTCTGGCGCCACCTACTGTTGGACTCCCTGCTTTCCACCCTATCAGTCCCAGTCAGCACCGGTCAGCACTCCCTAGAACAGTCCTTTCTGCATTCTCATCACAGCTCAGACTCCAGCTCTGGGAGGCCTACTGCCAGGTCCGATACTTGTGCACTCACCTTCGAGGGAACGACAGTGCGGATTCTGCGGTCTCCACGGACTCTTCCATGGACGAGTCATCAGAAACCTCCTCGGCCAAAGATGTGCCGGCTGGTAGCTTGCGGGCTGCCCTCAGCGAGCTGAAGAGGCTGATCCAAAGTGTTATAGATGGCACAGACTCCACGGTAAGGGGGAGAGATTTGAAGCTCACACTTGAAGCAAATGTACCTGTGGCATTTGCCCTCCTAGGTGGGTCATAAGGAAAGGGTTAAATGAGGGTGAAGTGATTGGCCAGTGGGAACCCAAGGGGAGGAGTTAGAGTTGGAGTTGTGTGAAAGTCAGCTGAGAGTTGGGAGTTGGAGAAGGAAGAGGGAGGATAAGTCTGTGGGTTGGTCGAGTTGTGTTGTGAGAGAGTGAGAGGAACTGTTAGGTGGAGTCAGATAGATGGTTGGGATAATCAGTTTGAAGTTGTTAGGAACGTATAGGTCAGTAAAGAAACTAAGATTAAGAAACTGCCAAGAAAAATTAACTGAAACTATAAGCTTGTTCATGCCTATAAAATAAACTTGATTATTTGTTAATGTTAACAACTGTCTGGACTCCGTGTGTACCCGAGAGAAACGGGTTGGTGGCAGTGGGGAAGCGATCATAGTGGTGGCACAGGGATCAATAGACCGTCAAACGTCCGGGGACCCTGTGTGATTGCCACAGTACCTAATTTGCACTTTCCAGAATGAAACACTGAACCCAAACACTGCCATCCCAATTTGCACTTCTCTGAATTTTGCAATGCTGCCAACTAATGGGATAAAAATGCACATACGAGGGTAAAGTGTGCATAGAAATAGCATACAGGTGCATTATATCGGAGAAAATTGCTTTGCAAAACTGTGTACAGTGGTACCTTGGTTCTCAAATGCCTTGGTACTCAAACAACTTAGAACCCAAACACTGCAAACCCAGAAGTAAGTGCTCCGATTTGCAAACTATTTTTGGAAGCTGAACATGCTCCGGTTTGAGTGCCACGCTTCCGTTTTGAGTGTTACGCTAAGGTCTGTCTGTTTTTGCTCTCTTTTTTTGCATTTTTGTATTTGCGGCTCTTTTTTGTTTTTGTGTCTATTTGGAACCCAGTTCAGTTTCTGATTGATTGATTGATTGATTGATTGCCTGCAGTACATTGTTTATCACTTTCATTTTATGGATCAACGGTCTTGTTAGATAGTCAAATTCATGTCAAATTTCTGTTTTAGGGATTCTTTTTAAAAGTCTGGAACGGATTAATCGGTTTTTGCATTACTTTCTATGGGAAAGCGTGCCTTGGTTTTGGAACACTTTGGTTTTGGACTTCCGGAACGGTTTAAGTTTGAGAACCAAGGTACCACTGTATATGGGAAGAAACTGGCGCTAAAATGCTGATGAGTTTCGATGAGGGCTTCTATTAGAAATTTGCAAACTGGTGTGGAAATGTGGAGAACCAGACTTAAGACTGGGAAAAGGTGAAACTGAGAAGAATTAACCTTCAGAGTCACCTGTCCCTAACTGAACTTTGTGTGGTCCCTCCGGGATCTCTCCTTTCTTCCATTCTGCTTGCCAAACCTCTACTGATTTCACTTTTCTTTCTTTGCTTCATTACGCTTGCCAGAGCTCACGGCGAAGCGATGATGATGCCTTAGAAGAACAGATCAAGCAGACAAGCGAAGATTCGAGAGCCTTGAGGGAGCTGATGGAAGGCGAAAGAGGGAAACTGAGGCAGAGCCTGGAAGAGCTGCAACAGCTCCATAGCCAGGTAAGCACGTACCTCTGACTATCCAAAGGCCTATCTATCCCAGCAACCTCTTTTCACTCTGGCCAGTCATATGCCAATGAGAAACCAAAGCAAGACCTGACCACAGCAACACTCCCCTCACCTGCACTTCCCAGCAATTCAGTTGCATACTACCCTGACTCAACTCATCTGAGCTCATTTGTTTTCTGTTGCTGGTTTGAGTTGTCATGGAATTACGTAGCTTGTTTACATCATTTCAGTCTTATTGTCCAGTTAAAGCAGCGGTTCTCAACCTGTGGGTCCCCAGATGTTGTTGGACTACAACTTCCATGATCCCTGAGCTCTGGCCTTGCTAGCTAGGGGAGATGGGAGTTGTAGTCCAACAACATCTGGGGACCCATGGGTTGAGAAAGGCTGAGTTAAAGGAAGGAGAGGCGTCTGGCTCTTTCAGTATTGATGGACTACAACTCCCAAAATTCCTCCTGATGCCTTGGCCAAGAACATCTGAAGGGCCTGAGGTTGCCCACCCTTGGTTTAATTTTTGTTTGGGGATAGGTAAAGGTAAAGGGACCCCTGACCATTAGGTCCAGTTGTGGCCGACTCTGGGGTTGTGGCGCTCATCTGCCTATTTTCTCACCCAAGAGAAAGTCACTAAAGAAGAATCTAGTCCAACCCTCTGCGGTGCAGGAACCACAACTGAAGAATCCCTGACAGATGGTCATCCAACCTCTGTTTATAAACCTCCAAAGAAGGAGAGGGCACCACTTTCCGAGGTAGTCTGTTCCATTGTCAGACAGCTCTTACCATCAGAAAGTTCCTCCTCATGTTTAGTTGGAATCTCGTTTCTTGTATTTTAAATCCATTGGTTCGAGTCTGAGCTTTTGCAGCAGCAGAAAACAACCTTGCTCCATCTTCCATCCCCTTAGTCTCAGTGTTGCCCTTCTGGAGCACAGCAGGGAGGAAGATGGAAACAAAAGTAGATTTGGTTGACTCTGTCTTTCAATGGCTCTGGCACCACCTACTGTTGGGCATCCTTGCCTTCTGCCATACCAGTCCCAATGGGAGCCTGTGGAGGGAGGCCTGCAAGCAAATGCACTGGTATGTGTGCCCAGTCCTGAATCCTATACAGTGTTACCTCTGGTTACGTACTTCATTCGTTCCGGAGGTCCGTTCTTAACCTGAAACTGTTCTTAACCTGAAGCACCACTTTAGCTAATGGGGCCTCCCGCTGCTGCCGTGCCACCACATGATTTCTGTTCCCACCCTGAAGCAAAGTTGTTAACCCGAGGTACTATTTCTGGGTTAGCGGAGTCTGTAACCTGAAGCGTATGTAACCCGAGGTACCACTGTGTTCCTGTGAACTGATCATTCTCTATGTGTAGCAGGACTTTGTTGTTTTTGTTATCTCTATATATTAAATGGGTTTAAAACCCACTCCCCACTTCCCCTCCCCAGCTATACTTTTTCCTTCTGGATCCATTTATGTGTTGTTGTTTTTTGATTGATTGATTGTAAATCCTTAAGGAACATGGACATGTATGTGTGCACACAAACTTAATTCATTTTAAATTAAGCTGCTGTTATATTTGCTGAGCCTAACAGTAGGAGATAAGCCCTAAATAGATAGAGAAGACTAGCTGCAAAAAGTAAGCAAAGCTATGTGGTCCTCAAAACTCTGCAGCGGCCAATTTTCAATTTCTCTTGCCACTGAGGGGTGGTGCTGAGGACATGATTTATATAGTGTTTCAGCTAGCTGTGGTACCCACAAATTCTGTATTAGTGACCTTGAAATGTTCAAAAATCCTGATGTGGTTCCTTTCACTGATGGGAATTACTTAAAACAGCTTCACTCGAACCTGGTGCCTTTCAGATTGTTAGCTAGCACCGATGAGAGGACCATCTGTCTGGTTTAAAAACATGAGGTTTGAAAACCAACATGATGGCTTTTTCAAGTTTTTCTCTGCTGTAGGTTCTTTTTAGGAATTTAAGGTTTTAATATTTATTCCTACAGCCATGTGGTCTGGCTTACATAAAACCTCCAGAATGCAGTGTCTCAAGATTGCGACCATTTTTGTTCTTGTCTCCCCTCTCCCCCCTCAAAATACCCCATTTATAACTGTGGTTGTGATATGACAAGCACAGCTCCCTATCCACGATCTTTTCCTTGCGGCACCTTCAGAGTGGTCACTCCAGTCCCTTATTCTTGCCATTCAATGAGTGGCAATCAAAGGTTAATTTTTCTTCTGTTTCTTATCAGGTGACGCTACTGAGTGTAGAGATGACTTCCCTGAAAGAGGAACGGGACAGACTCCGGGGATCAGTAGATGATAAGGATATGAGCGAACAACTCTTGAAGGCTATCAGGGATCGGGATGAAGCAATCGCCAAGTAAGCTGAATTATTTTTTAAAGACGTGTGGGGTTGTGACCCCCAGGGAGAGGGGCAGCTGTGTCATGATGGCTTTCTGTGTGACAAGAAGCTCAGTAAAAAGTCAGCCGGGGTGGAGAACCAGTGGCACTTCAAATGTCATTGGACTCCAACTCCCATCATCCCCAGCCAGCAGGGTCAACGGTCGGGGTGACTGGAACTGTGCCTCGGAATCCTGGAGGGCCACAGGCTCCCCAGGTGTGATGCAAAAACACCACTGTTCTTTTCTACAAAGGGAAAGGGACCCCTGACCATTAGGTCCAGTTGTGGCCGACTCTGGGGTTGCGGCGCTCATCTCGCTTTATTGGCCGAGGGAACCGGCATACAGCTTCCGGGTCATGTGGCCAGCATGACTAAGCCGCTTCTGGCGAACCAGAGCAGTGCACGGAAACGCCGTTTCCCTTCCCGCCGGAGCGGTACCTATTTATCTACTTGCACTTTGACATGCTTTCGAACTGCTAGGTTGACAGGAGCAGGGACCGAGCAACAGGAGCTCACCCCATCACCGGAATTCGAACCGCCAACCTTCTGCAAGTCCTAGGCTCTGTGGTTTAACCCACAGCGCCACCCGCATCCCTGCTCTTTTCTATAGAGAACCATTAATCTGCAATCCTGCAGAGCTGGGGAACGTAGCAGGTAGCCAGAAACAGTGTATATCAAGCAGATGCAAAGCCTCCATCATGCATGTGAATGTGCGTTGTTTTGAATCCATGGAGAAGGGCAAAAACAAAACCCCAAAATGCAGAAGAATTAATCTGGTGCTTAGTTTGATTATGTCAGCCTTCCCTAACTAGGTGCCCTCTAGATGTTTTTGGCTGCAACTTCCATAAGCCCCAGCCAGCGCAGCCAATGGTCAGGGAGCTGGAGTCATAGCAAACTGCCTTATATTTACACCTTATACCATTGGTCCATCTAACTCAGTATTGTCCACGCTGGTTGGCAGCAGCTATTTAGAGTTTCAAATGGGGGACGTTCCCATCTCTACCTGGAGATGCCAGGAATCGAAACAAGAGACTTTCTACATACGGAGCAGATGTTCTACCACTGAGCCACCACCCTTCCCATTTACAGAATATTACAGCTTATCTGGGTCTCATACCCTTGGTTAGTTAGGGACCTCCTCTGCATGCACAGACAGGCTCTGGCAGATTGAGCGGACGATACCAATAGTTTGTCCAACGATCAAGAAGATGGTTTCTGCACAGGCCGTAGAGTAGATGAGAGGCAGATGGGGCTCAACAACCTGGGAAGGGAGCCCATCTAGGAGAAGGAAAACTCTAATCCTAATCCTCTGCTGCCTTATGGGATATTTTCAGGAGAAAAAAGATCTAGAGTGGAGTTCCTGAGACAGCTGGGTGGTGCCTTGTATACTGAGAAAGGGCTCTTATCGTCTATACAGTGGTACCTCGGGTTATAGACGCTTCAGGTTACAGACGCTTCAGGTTACAGACTCCGCTAACCCAGAAATAGTACCTCGGGTTAAGAACTTTGCTTTAGGATGAGAACAAAAACTACGTGGCGGCAGCGTAAGACCCCATTAGCTAAAGTGGTGCTTCAGGTTAAGAACAGTTTCAGGTTAAGAACGGACCTCCAGAATGAATTAAGTTCTTAACCCGAGGTACCACTGTACAGCCCAGGACCTCCATACACACTGCCCAGGTTTTGCACCCCAGGGAAGTCATGTTTGGCTTGACATCACCCCCGAAGGCACACTCCATTGTCTGAGACAGATGGATGCCAGCAACAGCAGCTTATCAATAGCCTTTTGGCAGATCTTAAGCCATTTTGCCCCTGGACCAACCACACTGATGTACAGGTGAAACTCGGAAAATTAGAATATCGTGGAAAAGTTCATTTATTTCAGTAATTCAACTTAAAAGGTGAAACTAATATATGAGATAGACTCATGACATACAAAGCGAGATATGTCAAGCCTTTATTTGTTATAATTGTGACGATTATGGGGTACAGCTGATAAAAACCCCAAATTAACAATCTCAGAAAATTAGAATATTGTGAAAAGGTAGAGTAGCTATTCAATCCATAACACCTGCAATGGGTTCAGTAGGAAGCACAATCATGGGGAAGGCTGCTGACCTGACAGTTGTGCAGAAAGCCATCATTGAGACCCTCCATAAGGAGGGAAAGCCTCAAACGGTAATTGCAGAAGAAGTTGGATGTTCCCAAAGTGCTGTATCAAAGCACATTAATGGAAAGTTATGCAGAAGGGGAAAGTGTGGAAGAAAAAGGTGCACAAGCAGCAGGGATGACCACAGCCTGGAGAGGATTGTCAGGAAAAGACCATTCAAACGTGTTGGGGACTTTCACAAGGAGTGGCCTGAGGCTGGAGTTAGTGCATCAAGAGCTACCACACACAGACGGATCCTGGAGATGGGCTTCAAATGTCGTATTCCTCTTGTCAAGCCGCTCCTGAACAAGAAACGACGTCAGAAGTATCTTGCCTGGGCTAAAGGGAAAAAAAGAACTGGGCTGTTGCTCAGTGGTTCCAAATCCTCTTTTCTGATGAGAGCAACTTTTGCATCTCATTTGGAAACCAAGGACCCAGAGTCTGGAGGAAGAATGGGGAGGCACACAATGCCAGATGCTTGAAGTCCATTGTGAAGTTTCCAATGCCAGATGCTTGAAGTTCAGTGTGAAGTGTAGATTTGGGGATCCATGCCATCAGCTGGTGTTGGTCCACTGTGCTTCATTAAGTCCAGGGTCAATGCAGCCCTCTACCAGGAGATTTTGAAGAACTTCATGCTTCCTTCTGCAGACGAGCTTTATGGGGATGCTGACTTCATTTTCCAGCAGGAATTGGCACCTGCCCACACTGCCAAAAGTACCAAAACCTGGTTCAGTGCCCATGGGATTACTGTGCTTGATTGGCCAGCAAACTCGCCTGACCTGAACCCCATAGAGAATCTATGGGGCATTGCCAAGAGAAAGATGAGAGACATGAGACCGAGCAATGCAGAGGAGCTGAAGGCTGCTATTGAAGCATCCTGGTCTTCCATAATACCTCAGCAGTGCCACAGGCTGATCGCATCCATGCCACGCCGCATTGAGGCAGTAATTGATGCAAAAGGGGCCCAAACCAAGTACTGAGTACATATACATGCTTCTACTTCTCAGAGGTCCAATATTGCTCTATTTGCAAGCCTTGTTTTGCTGATTTGATTTAATATTCTAATTTTCTGAGATTGTTAATTTGGGGTTTTCATCAGCTGTATGCCATAATATCACAATTATAACAAATAAAGGCTTGACATATCTCGCTTTGCATGTCATGAGTCTATCTCATATATTAGTTTCATCTTTTAAGTTGAATTACTGAAATAAATGAACTTTTCCATGATATTCTAATTTTCTGAGTTTCACCTGTATAGCTGTCCTTACAGAGCACTGGTAGGAATGCCCAAACAATACTGTTAAATCTGTCTTTTTAAAATTATTGATCCATTATCCTAATTGCCACTCAGTGGTGATTTAGCCTCCTTGCCAGTTACGAACATAGGAAGCTGCCTTATTCTGAGTTAGATCATGGGTCCACCTAGCTTAGTTTTGTTTATACCAACTGGCAGTGGTCCTCCAAGATTTCAGAGGTGTCTCTCTCCTGTCCCTACCTGGAGAGGGTATGATTTAAACCTGGGACTTTCTGTATGCAAAGCAGATGCTCTCCCATGGAGCTATGGTCCTTTCCCCAAATATAAATTACCATATTTTTTGCTCTATAAGACTCACTTTTTCCCTCCTAAAAAGTAAGGGGAAATGTGTGTGCGTCTTATGGAGCGAATGCAGGCTGCGCAGCTATCGCAGGCTGCTTTCACTGCACAGTGATCCCTCTTGCTGTTCTGGCTTCTGAGATTCAGAATATTTTTTTTCTTGTTTTCCTCCTCCAAAAACTATGTGCGTCTTATGGTCTGATGCGTCTTATAGAGCGAAAAATGCGGTATTTCTTATATAAATATATTTATATTTCCCCAAATATAAGATAATTTCTTATATTTGCCATACACAGGGACACAACCAGATTTGTATTGGGGGAAGCTATGCAATGGCTCAATCTCCTTATTTTCAAGGACTCTGTCACCATCATCACTCAAGGGGACCTTTTCAGCACGTAGAACAGGAAGCATACAGATCTCTGTTTAAAGAGCCATTGTAGCGCTGCCACCTGTTGGCTAAGGGAAGGAACTGCCAACTGCTGAGTTTTGGATGCAAAAGGCAGCTTTTGATATTTTAGTATGTGTGTGGGTTACTGGCTCTCCTGTATCCATGGAAACCAGCTGCCGTTCTGGGGCTGTACGAGTCCCAGTGTTTTTAATATTCATTCAGCAGCAAGGGGATTTTGCAATGCAGGACGTACTTATTCTGGTCGTCTATCTTGGAAGCCGCAGGTGTATTTTGCTGAAACGTGACCCGTGATATATCTTAAAATACAGATATATTAATTTAAACAAACCTATCCCTCTTTCCAGGCTCTGGGATGGTTCAAGGCAGCAAACAGGTTTAGCTTTGATTCCAGTGCTGTTCCACGTAGGGGAAGATCTGTAACTCAGTGATAGAGCACCTGCTTGGCATGCAGAAGGTCCCAAGTTCCCTCAAATCCTGCTGCACTCAAATCCTGCTTGCAGACTTTCTGTATGCATCTGGTTGGCCACTGTGTGAACAGGATGCTGGATTCAATGGGCCACTGGTCTTGTCCGGCAGAGTTCTGCTTTTATGAAGCAGAAGCTCTTGTGGCCACCTATCAGAAATGCTATAACAGTGGAATTCCTGCATTGACTGGGGGGTTGGACTTGATTACCTTTGAGGATCTCTTACATCTCTATGATTCTGTGAAATGCCATGTACAGTGGTACCTCAGGTTACAAACGCTTCAGGTTACAGACTCCGCTAACCCAGAAATAGTACCTCGGGTTAAGAACTTTACCTCAGGATGAGAACAGAAATCATATGCCGGCGGCAGTGGGAGGCCCCATTAGCTAAAGTGGTACCTCAGGTTAAGAATGGTTTCAGGTTAAGAATGGACCTCTGGAACGAATTAAATTCGTAACCAGAGGTAAAGGTAAAGGTAAAGGGACCCCTGACCATTAGGTCCAGTCGTGGCCAACTCTGGGGTTGCGGCGCTCATCTCGCTTTATTGGCCGAGGGAGCCGGTGTACAGCTTCCGGGTCATGTGGCCAGCATGACTAAGCCACTTCTGGCGAACCAGAGCAGCGCATGGAAATGCCATTTACCTTCCTGTCGGAGCGGTACATATTTATCTACTTGCACTTTGACGTGCTTTCGAACTGCTAGGTTGGCAGGAGCAGGGACCGTGCAACGGGAGCTCACCCCGTCGTGGGGATTCGAACCGCCAACCTTCTGATCGGCAAGTCCTAGGCTCTGTGGTTTAACCCACAGCACCACCCACGTCCCACAACCAGAGGTACCACTGTATAATGATCACCTCCCCTGACTCCCTGGGCCACTTTTGTTAGCACAGTCCTTATAAAGGTCCCCAGCCTTCCTTCCCTCTCAGTCCTTCTGCTGTTATGCTTCTGCGGTGTTTTGAACTCTCTTCAGCCAGATCAGTGGGTGGGTGGGAGAGGTCTTTCCAGGCAGCCTCATCCCCAATTTGTAGAGGGCCATCTGGTGCCTCAGGCTGCTTCCAGATTACCTGTTTATTGAGCACTCGTCCTGATTGGTTTGCAAGAAGATTTGACCACGGTAGCATTCATTCTGATTTGTTTGGTTAGCTGACATTATGTCAATGCAAGCGTTATCCCACATTTTCCAGGGCATTTCCTTGTCTCTTTCCTTATCACAAAAAGTCGGATCCTTTGGGGGAAGAGGGTTTGTTGCTCAAGACCTCCCAGCAACAGGAATTGTGTGGCTTGAATTGGCTGATAAATTGGCTGTGATTGGATACCACTCAAAAGTAGTGACAGCCTGGAAGCACCCTCAGGTTAACAGAGTATGCCATCTTTGTGGAAGGCAGGAAGCAGTGGCACAGCCAACGGGAGGCAGCAGAGGGGAGCATGATGTGCTAAAAGGGAGAAAGGCGCCAGGTTTCCCTGTACAGTGGTACCTCAGGTTAAGTACTTAATTCGTTCTGGAGGTCCATTCTTAACCTGAAACTGTTCTTAACCTGAAGCACCACTTTAGCTAATGGGGCCTTCCGCTGCCGCCGCACGATTTCTGTTCTCATCCTGAAGCAAAGTTCTTAACCCGAGGTACTATTTCTGGGTTAGCGGAGTCTGTAACCTGAAGCGTATGTAACCTGAAGCGTATGTAACCCGAGGTACCACTATACTATTGCAAGGGAGCATGGGACGCATGCCCATTTGGGGCTGAGCCTTATAAGCTTGCTGTCTACCATGTCAACTGAGTGTCAAGATGGCAGATTTTTTTGGGGGTGGTGGTCTATGCAGCAGTAGCAGCAGCTCAGCCCACCCAACCTAAGAAGAGCTTGCTGAATCAGGCCAGTATCTCATCCAGCATTCTGTTCTCACACTGGTGAACTAGACATCTACCGTAAGCCCAAAATCAGGACCTGAGTGCAACCAAAACTCTACCCACTTACCGTATTTTTTGCTCTATAAGATTCACATTTTCCCTCCTAAAAAGTAAGAAACTACAACTAATCCAGAATGCGGCAGCTAGACTGGTGACTGGGGGCGGCCGCCAAGACCATATAACACCGGTCTTGAAAGACCTACATTGGCTCCCAGTACGTTTCCGAGCACAATTCAAAGTGTTGGTGTTGACCTTTAAAGCCCTAAACGGCCTCGGTCCAGTATAACTGAAGGAGCGTCTCCACCCCCATCGTTCTGCCCGGACGCTGAGGTCCAGCGCCGAGGGCCTTCTGGCGGTTCCCTCATTGCGAGAAGCAAAGCTACAGGGAACCAGGCAGAGGGCCTTCTCGGTAGTGGCGCCTGCCCTGTGGAATGCCCTTCCAGCAGATGTCAAAGCGATAAACAACTACCTGACATTCAGAAGACATCTGAGGCAGCCCTGTTCAGGGAAGTTTTTAACGTGTGATATTTTACTGTATTTTTGGTTTCTATGGAAGCCGCCCAGAGTGGCTGGGGAGGCCCAGCCAGATGGGCGGGGTATAAATAATAAATTATTATTATTATTATTATTATTATTATTGGAAATGTGTGTGCTTCTTATGGAGCGAATGCAGGCTGCGCAGCTATCCCAGAAGCCAGAACAGCAAGAGGGATCTCTGCTTTTGCTGCGCAGCGATCCCTCTTGTTGTTCTGGCTTCTGAGATTCAGAATATTTTTTTTCTTGTGTTCCTCCTCCAAAAACTAGGTGCATCTTATGGTCTGGTGCGTCTTATAGAGCGAAAAATACGTATGTTTCTCAGCAGCTGGTATTCCAAGGCATACTGACACCCGACAGTGAAGGATAAAGATAGCCATTGTGCCAGCCTTTAGTAGCCTTCTCCTTTATGAATTTGTCTAATCTTCTTTTCAATCCACCCAAGTTGGTGGCCCTCGCTGCCTCTAGCGGGAGCTAAATCTATAGACTCAATGATTCGTTGTGTGAAAATGTCCTTCCTTTTGCTTGTCCCGAATCCTCTGAGGTTCCGCTTTGTTGAATGTAATAATAATAATAATAATAATAATAATAATAATAATAATAATAATATCTTTATTGTCATGAAGTTCTAGTGTTATGAGATAGAAAGAAAAGCATTTCTCTGTCCGTTTTCTCCACCCTTTCATCCTCTGACACTGGGCAGGATATGGGTCCATAATATTTAAATCCACTCTAAAATAGTCATATTTCTACAGGAATTAAATAACTGGGGAAGAGGGAGGTTTGCCTTAATTCAGGGTTTCCCAAACTTGGATCTCCAGCTGTTTTTGGAGTACAGTTCCCATCACTCCTGACCGCTGGTCCTGCTAGCTAGGGATGATGGGAATTGTAGTCACTTAATGTGGAGTTTTACATCGTACCATTAGAATCTGTATTTAAACGTTTTGTGATGGTAATGTTCGTGTAGGGGAAGCCAGATGTTGCCCTTCATATTTGATCTCTGTCTGTCTGTCTGTCTGTCTGTCTATCTATTTCTTACTGCCAACTTCGGCTTCTAAGCAGTTTACGTGTATAAAAATTGATTACATAACTGTGAATATATAAACCTCCCTAATTAAAGTACATGATAAAACAACCCCATTAAAGCATGCCGTAATTAAGTAAAAAAGTAAATTTTCTTACTTTTATGTCTTGATGTTTTCTTTTTCTTTTTTTTGTATTTAACTCTTCTATACTTACCTTTGTTGTACATTTGTATTTTAAAGCAATAAAGATTTACCATGAAGAAAAATAAATAAATAAAAATAAAACATGCCGTAATTAAAATAGGAAGAGATCCAAGGGAAAATAGTAGTCACATCTTCAAAAGCTGGCAGAATGCCAGTTGGACTCCCAACTTCCACGAGACCCAGCCAGCATGATCAGTGGATAGGGGTGATGGGAGTTGGCGTGCAGTGACATCTGGAGGGCACCATATTGCCTCCCTCTGTGTTCACGCATGGACCGTCCTTTATTGTCTTTGAATTGCCACGTTGCTTGGGCTGTCTCTAAATCCAAAAAGCAAGCAATGGCAGAGGGTCTCCCGAGAAATGAATTTGACCGCCTTCTGCTTTTGCTTTTCAGGAAGAACGCTGTCGAAATGGAGCTAGCCAAATGCAAGATGGATATGATGTCACTGAATAGTCAGCTTTTGGATGCTATTCAGCAGAAGCTTAACCTTTCGCAGCAGCTGGAGGCGTGGCAGGTAAGAGGGAAATGGGAGTGTGGAGTAGCAGTCCAGAGTCCTTCTCCCCAGCACCTATTCTCTTAAGTCAGAAATGCTTTGCGGATTCCACCAGAAGTCCCTTTTTTGTGCATTCATCCTGATTCACTTGCCTAAACCTTGCACAGTGATGACGTACATGCATGTGTTATTGAACTAGGCCTGATTTTCCTACTTCCCTGTGATCGACAGAAACCTCCCCCTGGTTGACCTTTTCCCACCCCAGTTCTCAACTTCTCCGTCTTCTCCTCTCTCTCTCTCTCTCTCTCTCTCTTCTCTCCTATGCTTCCAGTTTGCTTCCTCAGGCCTTTTTACAATATGGCTCCTTTGGTTTCTGATCTAGTGTGGCCTTTCTCAGTTCCCGTAACAACAGCTTTAGTCGTACACCCCTCCTGCCTTTAAGGTGAGCGCCCATCCACCTCTCTCCTTACCCACCTCATCCTGTTTCATCTCATCCCAGTTTAGTCTCACTACATCCTCCGGGGGGAAAGAATGCGAGCATCTCATAGGCACCCACAGAATCAACTCTGCGGGCACGTCGCTCTTCTCATCTTCCATGAGCATGTCACAGTTTCTCTCTCTCTCTTCTCAAAAGTACCTTTCTGAATTTGCTTGCCTGTCTTGTGGACTAGTGTCTCTCTTTTTTTAAAACACATGCTTTCCTTTCCAGAGCATGGACTTGTGGTAACATTGAAATATACTCGGAGTCAAGTGTGGATTTCATGCTCTTTATTCAGCTCATAGTAGTGAGGAATGAAAGTTCCCCCCCCCAAAAAAAATCTGCTTTATATACATTATTTACGCAATGGGCCGCACGTGATTGGCTAATTCCTGGATTCTCCTGTAGGCCAATCAGGTTGCGGATTCACTTCCACCTGGAGCTGGATTGGGTGGCTCCTGCGGACCAATCATACTGCTGCATTGTTCTAGGACCAATCAGACTGCTGCATTCTGAATCCTATTGTTCTAGGACCAATCAGACTGCTGCATTTGAATCCTATTCAACTCAGTACATAACAAACATCTTGCATTATTATTATTATTCCGGCAGTTAGAATGCAGAAGCATAGATACCTTCAAAGGTGCATGTGTAGCATAGCCATTATGGCTAGTAGCCATTGATAGCCTTATCTAGTACTATTTTTCTAGAAAAAGAGGTGCCAGAACTCACCATGAACTCACCCTTGTTCTCTTAGAATGGCAATGGGGCCCACCTGAGATGTGCCGGAACTAAGCCCTGGCCTTATTCTCCTCTGCCAGGATATCTGATCCTCTTTTAAAGCCATCCAAGCTGGTGGCCATTCCTGCATCCTGCGCAAGGTCCCTAATTTAACTGTGCATTGTTAAAAAGAAGGTCTTTTTTCAAAATCTGTCCTTGCCCAAAAGGCCCAAAGAGTCTAAAGAGGGTGGGGGAGTGCCATAGAATTAACTTGAAAATGAACTAAAAATTGTTCACGAATTCACATTCAGTTCACCTGGTAATTGTGGGAAAAACATAGTTTTTTCAAACTAATTCAGTAAACTTTGTTAAACCACACCAGTTCATTCCAATCACTGTTTAGAACTAAATCACTGAGCACATATAGTTCCAGGGTGGGGAGCTCTTGATTTCCATGCAGAAGGTCCCTTGTCCCCTGGGATCTCTAGGTAGGGCTGGGAAAGCCCTATATCAGGCTTCCTCAACTTTGGCCCTCCAGTTGCTTTTGGCCTACAACTCCCATGATCCCTACCTTGCAGGTCCAGTGGTCAGGGATGATGGGAATTTTAGTCTCAAAAACATCTGGAGGGCCGAGGTTGAGGAAGCCTGCCCTATATCCTAGAGAGCTGCTGCCAGTCAGTGTTGATAATATTGAGCTTCATGGACCAATGATGATTTTTCCTCCAAAGACCTCTAAGTGGTGCATATGGCTCTTCCCTTTAACATCATCTTCTCACAACAACCCTGTGAGGTAGGTTAGGCTGAGGGACTTGATCAGTGGTGGAGGAAGAGGAATGCGGGGGGAGTGCACTGCCCCCGGTAGCGCGATCCTGGTAGGGTGCCATTGCGGCTGCCCTCCCCCCACTTGTGCTGGGCACCAGGCCGCCACAGGCACGTGCCACACCCCCAGGACGCCTGTCATGCCCCCGGGATGTGCGCCAGCCCCACCCCCACCTGCACTCTGCCCCCCTCCCCGGTGCCAGAGCATGAAGCTTCGCCACTGACTGTGATTGGCCTGGGGTCAGCCAGTGAGCTTTGTGGCAGAGAGGCATTTACTAATAATTATTGGGACGCGGGTGGCGCTGTGGGTTAAACCACAGAGCCTAGGACTTGCTGATCAGAAGGTCGGCGGTTTGAATCCCTGTGACGGGGTGAGCTCCCATTGCTCTTTCCTAGCTCCTGCCAACCTAGCAGTTTGAAAGCACGTCAAAGTGCAAGTAGATAAATAGGTACCACTCCGGTGGGAAGGTAAACAGCGTTTCCGTGCGCTGCTCTGGTTCGCCAGAAGCGGCTTAGTCATGCTGGCCCCATGACCCGGAAGCTGTACGCCGGCTCCCTCGGCCAGTAAAGCGAGATGAATGCCGCAACCCTAGAGTCGTCCGCGACTGGACCTAATGGTCAGGGGTCCCTTTACCTTTACCTCCCTGGTCCCAGTTTAACACCCTAACCACTACACCGCCACTGGCGCTGTAGAGCATTTTGCTCTGCTGGCGGAGAGATGCATGTTGTTTTGTTTTGGCCCCATGTGCCCCTCTCCCCAGCAAGATGACTCATAATCACAAGCTGAAAACATTGTATAATAAGAACGAGGAATGGAGAACTTCAAACCGCTCCCTGTCTTCCTGTTTAGATCAGCCCTTTATTCACAGCCATGACGACAGGGATCTTTACTTTCAGTGTAAAGGCCAAAGCAAACGGGTCAAGCATCTGCTTTGCACGCAGAAGCTCCCAGGTTTCAATCCCCAGCATCTCCAGGTAAGGCTGGGATAGACTCCTGCCGGAATCCCTGGAGAGCTGCTGCCCATTGCTGCTTATATGAGCACTGGCCTGTAGCTCAGTGGGAGAGCAGGTAGGGATGGAAAAAGCCCTGCTCTCTGAAACCCTGGAAAGAGACGGAGGTCAGTACTGAGCCAGATGGACCAGTGATCCGACTTGGTGTCAGGGGTCCCGTTTCCTCGCCTGAAACGAAATGGGAACATGCTGTGCTGTAGCCTTACTTAGCTGGGTTGCTTGGCGGTGGCTACAAAATGGAGGCGATGGCAGGTTCCAGCAAGACCTTGTGCGCTCTGCAAGATGTCACCGGAAGCCAGCACTGCTTCTTGGCCAGCGGAGGTGGCAGAACATACATGGGGTCTCTGCTTCTTTAGTTTCTGCTGCCTGAGGCAGCTGCATCACCCCACCTCACGGGTGGTCCGCCGTGCTTCGTATATCTCTATCGCTGTGCACCCCTTCCTACAAGCAGCCCCTCCAGTCTCTTCCATTTGAATTTCCCATCTCCTCTTTCTCTCCCCAGCTTGTCGTGCCTTCTCCAACCCTCACTTCTGATTTGATTGCTCAACAGAAGTTAGAACAGCCAGGCCTCTGCTCCCGTGACCAAAACAACTTGCTTTAAAGGAGGGATGGGGAATCTGTGACCCTCCAGAGCAGGGGTCAGCAAACTTTTTCAGCAGGGGGCCAGTCCACTGTCCCTCAGACCTTGTGGGGGGCCAGGCTATATTTTGAAGAAAAAAATGAACGAATTCCTATGCCCCACAAATAACCCAGAGATGCATTTTAAATAAAAGGACACATTCTACTCATATAAAAACATGCTGATTCCTGGACTGTCCGCGGGCCGGATTTAGAAGGTGATTGGACTGGATCCGGCCCCTGGACTTTAGTTTGCCTACCCATGCTCTAGAGGCATACCTTTCAAGTGACCTGGAAAAAAGGGGCATCTCATTTTCTCATGCGCTCCTGCCTCGAAAAAAGCCCTTTTTTGGAGAGTGAGCCAGGTGCAGGTCCCATGACTCCCCTGGGAGCACGTACCGGAAGATGCATGTCTTGGTTTTGCATCGGAAAAAGTTGGAAGGAATGCAGAGGTTGTTGGACTCCCAACTTCCATCATCACCAGCCGGCATCAGGGATGATAGGAGTTGTAGTCCCACAACCTTGGGAGGTCCACAGGTTCCACATCCCTGCTGTTAAAGCCTGAAGTATCTTTTGTGTGTGTTCTTTTTTAAAAAATAAATCACTTCCATTATTCTTTGGGGGGCAAGGGTATTCTAGAAATGAACCCTTCCTTGGCATGCTGTTTGAAATTGCTAGGCCAAAGAGGATTTGCATATACAGCGGTACCTCTGGATGCGTGTGAATGGGATCCGTTCCTGAGCCCCATTCGCATCCTGAAGCCCATGCAGCCCACATCTGTGCGTGCGCGGGTCACAATTCACCACTTCCACGCATGTGCATGACATCATTTTGAGCGTCTGCGCATGCTCGAGTGGCAAAACCCGGAAGTAACGCGTTCCATTACTTCCGGGTTGCTGCAGAGCTCAACCCAAAGCTACTTCAACCCGAGGTATGACTGTAGATCAGGGGTTAGCAACCTAAGGCCCATGGGTCACAGGTGGCCCATGGGGGTTGTTTAACCGGCCCATGAGCCGCCCCCAAACTGAACCACCCGCTTAGTGAGTCCCCGCGCGCTACGCTAAACCAGTGTAGCGCGGCATGCGGACTCGCTTCTGTGGCACCGGAAATCACATCTGCGCAGACGCTGGAAATTGTGGGTGCACTTGCTCACACACACAATCCAGCCATGGAGGGATCTCCGCTGGAGTGAACAGGCCCAGACCTTGCCGACCCCTGATATAGATGATAGCCAATTCGCTGCTTACCAGACATGTAAAACAGTGGTGGCTGGTGCCCTTTGAGACTGGTGGAGCAGCAGGCAGGGAGCCCGACAGTAGGTGGCGCCAGAGCCAATGACGGACAGAACCAACAAGTTCTAGGTTTGTTCCCATCCTCGTCCCTGCTGAGTTCTACAAGGACAACAAAGAGACTGAGGAGGAAGAAGCTGCTAGCAGGCAAAGACATCCCCTGGAGTGGGTGCAAGTAAGAAGGCAGGCTGGCAGGTGAGGGCTGGCAAAGGGCAGGCTGAGATTGGTGGGATAATGCCCTGGTCAGCCTAATGGACCAGCCTCTCTGCTGATGTAAGATGAGGCCTCAGAGCTAGGTGACTGGCTATGTCTGTTTTACTGATGCTGGCGGCGATATGGTAGGAGTGAAGTGTGTGTGTTTGCGCATGAGTGCACACACGTCTTTGCTGTGTCCATGTGCATTTGATGGTTGTTCCTAGCAACCGAGCCCTTGCTGTGATGATAATCCATGTGTCAGATGGAAATTCTTGTTTCTTTCCTCTTGGCTTCACTGATTTCTGGTTAATAATGATTCCCCCCAACCCTCCTTTTAGTGCTAGAGTCTGCTTGTCATGCAGCTCATTCCTCACATTACATAAGCCCTGAGTACAAAAAGCTTTGATGGCTGAGAGAGAACTCATGGCAAGATTCCTGGAGCTATTTCACCTCAATTTAGCATTTAAGTGATCTACAGGCACTACCGTTTAAATAATGGTACCCAAATGCCCTTTGCCATGATGCACAAGGAATGTGTTTCTGTGCAGAGGCAGAACTTAGTATGCCTATCTGTGTATAATACTGCTACCACTAGTACTGCTTCTACTACTACCGTATTTTTCGCTCTATAGGACACACTTTTCCCCCTCCAAAAATGAAGGGGAAATGTGTGTGCGTCCTATCGAGTGAATGCAGGCTTTTGCTGAAGTGTGCACCGACCCCTCTCGCTCTCCAGGATTCAGGAAGCTATCCACAAGCCCTTGGAGCGCGGTGGGAGTTCCCGCTGGGCTCCGAAGGCTTGCGGATAGCAGCAAGCTCCAGGAGCGAAGGCGAGGTTGCTCGCAACCTTGCTGCCGCTCCCGGACCCGTTCTGGGGGGTGGGGTCGGGGGAAGCTCGGGTTTCCCCCGCCCCAGGCCCGCGGTTAAAAATGAAGCCAAGACAGCTAGCGGGATAAAAAAATTTTTCTTTATTCCCCCCCACCCTAAAATCTAGGTGCGCCCTATGGTCTGGTGCACCCTATAGAGCGAAAAATAAGGTACTTTTTATTATTAGACATTTTTATCCCACTCTTCAGCCAATAAAGGTTCCCAGAGCAGCTTACAAATAATCAGTGGGAAGACATGTTCTCACAATCTAAGAATTCATGACACAAGAGGAAAACAAGTTAGGGAGGGAAGAGGAAAAAAGCAGGCTCAGGCCCCAGTTATTAGTTACAGATATTGTGCAACGGGAAGAGTAATGGGAAATAAAATTGGCAGAGGAGGCAAAAGTTGCTGGTTTTCAGTTGAGCCAATGTACAGAGTCCGATCTCTCCCTCTCCTGCTGAGCTCTCTGCCTACAGGAGCGCTGTGTTTTTGGAGGCTGGGCTGGCTGCTATTGTGTGTTTGTGACTTTGTTTGCAGAACCTGGCACAGCCATTTATTTATATGGGTGGGTGGGAGTAAAAGAGAACATTTTTGGCAGCATGATTGAAGGGAGAGGGGGACCCCAGAGCCTGAGGATGGCCAGGTTTTGCTGCTTCTCAACCTTCCCATAATTTGGCCCCTTTATGTTTGTTTTATCCCTCCCGCTCTCTCTTTGTCCTTCCTGTTAACAGCGTTCCTTCTTTCCTTCCTGCTGCAGGATGACATGCAGAGGGTCATTGACCAGCAGCTGATGGACAAACATCCAAAGGAGTGGAGCCAGCCCACCTATTCCTTCTCCAGCGGTCACGGGGCAAAGCGGCGCACTAGACCCTCCCCCTTGCTGAGGCCAGAGCAGCAGGGGTCAGAGCCCAGCGGGGCAGAAGGGAACCGCCTCTTTTCTTTTTTCAAGAAAAATTAATTGGACAAGAGCAACCACTCTCAATTCCTTTTTTTCTTTCTTCCCTTTTCCTTTTTTTATTTTTATTTTTTGAGATGAAGGATGCTGGAGAGAGATTCAGCAAGCCCAGCTTGTGATGGATGACGGTCTCCAATTCCGGTCACAGAAGAAGCCGCCAAAAAAAGAAAATGAAAAAAAAGGGGGGCAAGGAGTCCCGTCCCCCAACCCTTAAGAACACTGCACTAATCTTGCAGGCTGCGTGGTCTGAACTCAATGTTTACATGCGTCATAGTCCAATCGCCGGTCTTCTGCGCGATAGCAATTGAAAAGGACACTCTTTGATACCTTAAAGCAACATGATAAGAAAACACACAACCTTCCGGGTCTCTTGTTAGGTCCACTCTGTTTCTGCTGTGAGTAATCCAGATGTCTTAAAAGTCATTCTCTTCTGCAAAAGAGGAAACTTTAAAGGACCAGTTGAGATGTAGGAGCCAAGGAAGGGCCGGGGGCTGGGGGGGGCGGATGGGGAAGAGAGAGAAAGGGGGAAATACCCATGCATTTTATTTGCCGAGTTTCCATTCTTTTCACCAGACCAGAGGGCACCAGGTTGGCAAAGGCAGGTCATCCTTATCTGTCCATTTCTCAAAAGTGAGAGAGAGAGCAGTCGTGGCTCCTGGTTTGGGCAGAGCCAGACAGAACTCAACAGATGGAGGAGTGTTTGTGCTCTGTCCTGGTCTCTCTCAGGGTGGGTGACTAAGCAAGAATGTAAGCACACTGAAGGCAGTTCAGCTTCCACGTCAGCTCTGTTTCCCTGCTCTCCTTTCCCAGAGGTTGTGGCTGCAAGGAAATGGGCAAGTCTCTAGCCAGCTGGAAGTTGCAAGTATGCTGCAGCAAGAGTCTAAGAGGGGCAGCTGCTCCTGTGCCTAAACAAGCACCATACCCAATAAGCAGAAGTATCCCTGGACAAATCCTGCTGTCTCTGCTTGTGAGAACCAGAGCCCAGGTTTTTGCAAATTCTTGGGATTCACAGTATTCCCCCACCTACCCTCCCAAGTTTGTCCTTCAGCAAAATGAGACCGCTTGCTGTCTTCTAAACCTTGGGCCAGGACTGGCTACGTGGTGTCGTCCAGATCTTATTGGACTACAGTTCCCAATATCATGAACCTTTGGCCATGCTGGCAGGGGCTGATGGGAGTTCAACAAGATCTGGAGGGCACCATGCTGGCAAGGGCATATGGCAAGTGCCACCCTGCCCTGCTACTGATGGAGGAGCAGTGCCAGCCTCACTGCCAATTTTGGGAGAGATCTTGCATGTAATCCTGAAATCAACACCAATGCCTGTGCTGCTTCTCTGCTGGCAGTGGTCTGCCCACAGGGGTGCTGCCTTGGGGGCTTTTGCTGCCTGAGGCAGTGGCCTCACCCCACCAGCCCTGATGTTGGCTATCCCTGCCTAGGTGCTAAACCCCTTGCTGCTATTGTGAGGTTAAATTGGGAGTGAGGCTCATGGAAGAATAGAAATGACAGGAGCGTGGCATTTTCACAAAGGGTAGGCTCTACTGCTAAGATGCGGGAGCTGTTGAGACTTCAGCCTGATCCTCACTGACTCCCAACCAGCATGGTCAATGGTCAGGGATACTAGGAGTTGTGTTGCCGCTGACAGATTGAGGGTCACAGGTTCCTCACCCCAGCATAGGTTAAGCCAGATTCCATCTTTTCTTGGCATGGCATTTTTCTAGGCTAGGGGTAGCTAACATGATGCCCTGTGGGTGCTGTTGGACACCCAACGTCTTGACTATTGGGCCTGTTGAGAAACCATCAACAGGTGCAGGGCAGCACATTTAGCTATTCCTCTTCGAATTGGAGGAAGGTTTGGGGGAGCTCCAATCTAGAAGTGGCAGAGCTGAGATGCAGGTGGACTCTATGAGAACAAAACCTTTTCCAACCATAAACAGTAGATGGTGTATGAATGCCCAGTCTGCTGTTATATCTTCTCTTGGCCCTCCAAAAACAGGAACCCAACTCTTGCACCTGCTGCAGATGCCCTTCACAGCTGGAGTAGCCACAGAAATAAACTTGTCCCATATAGATTTAGACTGAGTGCACACTATACATTTGAAACACATTTCCCCCTTAAAATTCTGGGCACTAAAGTTTGCTAAGAGTTGCTGGGAATTGTAACTCTGTAAGGGATAAACTACAGGGCCCAGAATTATTTAAGGGAAATAATGTATTTTAAAGATACAGTGTGTTACTGTTTTAATCTGGTAACTGGCTGTTAGAGCAGAATGCTTGCAAGGGAAAGACGATTGCTTCTGAAAAGGATGGGGAACCTGTAGTCTACTGGCTGCTGTTTAACTACAGTTCCCATCATGCCCCTAACTATGTCGGCTGGGGTTGATGGGCGCGGCAGTCCAACAACATTTGGAGGACCATGGGACAGATAGTACTGGTTTATGTAGAAAGGAATCCCTGCGCTGTGAGTTCTATTACACCAGGGGTGGGGAACCTGTTGTTACTGGAATCCCATCTGCCCCCAGCCAGCCTGGCCAATGGTCAGGGGATGATAGGAGTTGTAGTTCAGCAATATCTAGAGTGCCCATAGGTTCCTGATCCCTGCTTTACACCAGTCTGGAACAGAACCCGAGTGGCAACATTCATAAAGGTATTCTGGTTAAAATAGTGTGTAACAGAACCTGTTACCTATATTCATACACTGGTTTGGCAGACAGCATCCTTGAGCACTGTGGGTCTTCCTTTTGAGTAAAAACATGCATAGGGTGAAGCTGAAATCTTATGGGGGGGGCAGCATCTTTCCTAAAATGTGATATACCATATTTTGCCGCCTTCTCCTGCAAGGTTAGCTACTGCCCATTGCATTGTGGGATAGTGAACGGAAAGCAATAAAGAGAGAACAGGGAGGGCTGGTCTCCCTCCCCCACCTTGAGAAACCTGACAGCCACACTTGTAGACTTGTTTCCAGGAGTTGCCAGTCCCCCACCCACGCTCTCTGTTGAGCATTGCCATCTGTCATAACAGTACAGCTCCCCCCCCCCCGCCACATCATATTGTGATATTATTGAACTACACAGCCAGGGGTGATGGAGCTTCGTGACAGCAGTGGGGAGCTCCATTAATTTGGGAGGAGAAGCGGGTGGCTGTAGAGCAATTGCAAGGAGCCATACTGCCCGCTTTATCTCCCCCCCTCCCCGCATTAGCTGAGAATCCTCACTAGGGGCATCAGTTGTGGTATCACTACCTAAAGATCAGACCAGACAAAACATTGCACAGATTCATTCAGTTAATTCTTGCACCTAAAAGTACACCATGGTATATTTTGGAACAGGAAAGGGAAAACTCTGTCCCGTGTCCAGTTCCACCACCACCACCCCATTCTGGGGACCGCAACTCCCATCAGCCTCAGCCAATATGATCCAGCTGGAGTCCAACTACAGCCCAAGGGCTGCAGTCGTCCCCCCTGTTTTAGCGCCTGACATGCGTTTTGCCTGTAAGCAAGAGGCTAACTGATAATGCAAGAGGGGCACTTGTAGAGCCTCTGGCTCCCTCCATCATTGATCACTGCCAAGTAGCTAACCTTTCCTTAGGAGGAGCAAAGAAAGCTACAGTAAAACAGTGGCAGGAGAGAGATGGCCCACAGCTCCTGCTTTCCCTGTGTTTGGCTATCTGGGATCCTTTTCAGCTTTCTCTGGCTGTGGGTTGGGCAGGCTCAGCATTGTCAAGAAGTAAGCAGAGCTAGCAAGCCCCATGGGTACACTTCACATGGGAGGTGCAATGGGCCACCAAGTCTATTGCCTATAGCAAAAAAAGAAAGTAATGGGGGGGGCCCACATCAGGATCCAGAGAGGCCCAGTTCCACATGGCAAAACTGATCCTCATTTTTACCATTTGGAGGAGGGCAAGAGAGATTGTGTGGCTGTCTGTAATAAAATAAATCCCGGCACATCAAAAACTTGCTGTCCAGGAAAGAAGGCAACTCTAGAACATTTCTCCAAGTTTTAGTTTATGTGCAATTAAGAAGAAAAATGAGGAGCATTCAGTCGCTCAATTCCCCATTATAGAACCCGAAGTAATATAGGCCAGGAAGTGAGCACTACACAGCCTTTTTAAGAACAGCAGAAGAACCTTCTTGCCGGATCAGGCCCATCTATTCCAGTATCCTGTTCTCACGGTGGCCAACCAGTCCTTTTCACACACTATTTGATCTAGGCTGTAAGCCAGAGCTGGGGCAAGCCTGCAGTCCTTCAGACGTTTCTGGACTCTCAGTGCCCATCATCCGTCACCCACTGGCCATGTTGGTGGGGCTAATGGGAACTGGAGTCCTAACAACAGCTGGAGGTCCAGAGGTTGTCCAGCCCATCATAAGGGAACTAGGAACCTACTAGCAATGAGCATTCCCCACAGACCATGGCAGGTTCTGGGGACAGTTCGCACCTCCAGAGACCCTCGGATCTGGATCTGTCAGCGTTCCCCACTTCAGCAGCTCAAACCGCTTACCCAAAAGTAAAGCGAGATGTGCCTGGGAGCTGCATCAATAGGCTTCCCCCACCCTGCCTAAAGCCCTTGGAAACCAAGCACACAGCAGGGATGAACAGACAGAATGTATCTATAGAGGTATATGTACATATTACACAGTGCAGTAATTTTTGTATGTAGCAGTAATGTAAATAAATGTACTTTTTATATAAATATATATAAGATATTCTATAAAGGCATATTTTAGTAGAAAACGCCGCTCTACTGCTTCTTTTGTAAATAGTTCTCGTCAGAATAAAATGGGTCCTTTCTATGGGTACTGTCTTTCTATGGGTACTGTGAATTGCTCACTGCTGTAGGGGGGAAGAGGAGAAGCTGTACCCTGCAAACATTGCTAGACTCTAACTCCCATCAGTCTTGACCACTGGTCATGTTGGCTGAGGCTGATGGGAGTTGGAGTCCAGCAACATTGCGGGGGGACGGGGGACGGGACACCATATTTGGGAGTTCCAACAGGGAAAAGCACTCCCTTGCTGCATTTAAGCCTGTCCTGGAGAACTGCTTGGCGTACTGACATTGTTGGACTCCAACGCCCATCAGCCTCCAGCCAGCATAGCCAGTGGCCAGGCATGATGGGAGTTGGGAGTCTAGCAACATCTGGAGGCCCACTGGTTTCCCTGTCCCCGACTTCAAACGATGGTAGCATGTTAAAAATAATAATTAGTGGCGTTCATTTAGTGCTCTTTGTACAAATATATGCCAGTTGTTCACAATGCAAATAACATAATTGAAATACTACAGGTTAAAAACAAAAGCACTTCTCAACAGCTCCAAAACCAATTCAGACAGAATGAATGATCCAATTGGGCTATTAAAAAAAAACCTTCATTTTCCACTGGATTTCTATTTAAAGCACCTAGGAGAATAAAAATGTCCTAACCTAGTACCTGATAGTGATGCTGACTCTCAGGGCAGTTTACTTAAACGTTCAGCTTGTAGACTCCATCCCAGATCTGTCTCTTCGGCTTTCATTTTCCTAGAGATGAGGAGCAGCCATTGCTTTTTATCCAAAAATCTTAAGTGTATAACCACATTTTTGTACTCTACCCTCTTGCCCCCTGCTTCGTGCAACATCTTGTCCAATGAAGAGTTCTAGACAACTCAGAAACCTGCCACATTTAGGGCACTTTGATTGGCCCCAATAAAGGTGGTGGGCCCAACAAGTCTCTCCCTTCCGCCTTGTGAAGAAATATAATCTAGCAGATCCCTTTCCAAAAGAGGCTACATACAAGATATTAGCATACAGTACATTTTCCTGACGGGCATATGGAGCCTAACTGGGAAGGTGGGGGGGAGAGAGTCAAAGAAGCCAGAGAAGAAATGTGCACACCTGGTATTGGGGGAGAAGCAAAAGACAGGAGCCTTGAAGGAAGATTTGGCAGCTTGGCACCTTTATTTTTAGTTTTTTAAAATTATTTAAAAAGCATAATTAGAAAGTTTCAATATACAGAAATAGTCCTAGCAAACCAGTTAGACATTCCACCGCTTGACATCAGCACCGCTAAAAACGCAGCTCTCCCCACCCCCACCCCATTTAATACTCCACAGGCACCACCCACTAGCACTGTCCACCAAGTAAATCTACCACCGTGAAGCCTCCTTTAACGACTGGAGCTTATGCAGCAGCACTGAGCAAAGACAAGAACCGGGAGAGGTGCTGCTAACGGCATCCTTGGGAAAAGCATCCCATGCTTCAACATCGGAAACCGGGACTGTTGCATTGGCAAAGCTCACACCCACGCCCCCCCCTTTCACAAAAGACCACTGCAATATGAGAGCCATCCCCCCTCCCTGTCACACAATGAGGATCCACCGTTGCTTCAGCCCGTGAGTTCCAAACCAAGACACCAGCACGTTCCACCATTTTCTACGGGCCTCTTAACGCTAGCCATTCCTTCCCAATTGGTTTGCTCAGCTCACATTCTCAATTCTGGAATTAGTGAGAAGTTAACTTACAAGAGACGCACAGAGCAGACAGCTGTGGAAGATGGGCAGCTGGGATGGATGTTGTCTTTGAGAACAATTTCACCGGCCGAAACCTGTCACATTCGCCGCTTGCGTGGGAAAAGCCTGCAGAGTCAGACTACTTGCAATGCGATTGCACGAGGGCTTTGTACAACCATAATTGTTGATTTTTGTTATTCAAGGCAAGCAAAATAATAAGGGTTTTCAACTTAGCCCTTCTTGCATAATTCAATGTCCAAAGGGTCAGTGACGCTGGAGAGCATCCTATCAATTTCATATTCAGGGGGAGGAAGGAATCATTTTGGTAGAAAAACATGTGCTCTCCTATAGCCTGAGCCATCTTAATATGCTAGGTGAGCTCATTTTTAAACAATGAGGAGGTAAGCCTCTGGTTATTTCCCTCCTAAAGCCCATTAAAAAAAGAACGGGGGGGGGGGGAATCCTTTTACTTTCAGCATAACCAGATCAGAAATCCAGTCAAAACTGCACAAACCACAGCAAGAAGCCCCATCCAATACCTAAGAGACCACCTCTGGTCTGATAAAGGACACAGAAAATAGCCTGTTGACACCTGTTGGGTGCAAGCACCATTTGGAAGAGCCAGATACCCCTTCAGCTCTTAATTTGTGGGAGAAGGGAACAAAGCAAGAGCCACAGAGAATGTTGGCAGCCAGAAATGCACTTTTGAAAAATGCACATCGTGTAACTGTGTGCAGAATGATGAGGGCAGGTGTGGGGAATAGTTTTTGACAGATTTACACTTTGGTAGCTCTTAAGGATGTTATGGGAGAGAGATTCCACCGGGGTGGGGATAATACTAGTTTTAAGTCTCACATCTAATTGCCAAAGATTTCATTTTAACTGGCCAGAGAAGTTAAATTGGGATGGGGGTGGGGGAAGCCTCTCTCACCCCCTGCCAGGGAGTGTGGAGAAGAAAGAGAGCACAGCTATTCCAAGAAGTGACAAAGCTCCAGCAACATTGGCTATTCTGGAGTCTGGGGGAAAAGGAATCTCAGAAGGTTGCCCACACAGCCTGAAAAAGTAGCTAAGGCCTCCATCCTAGCCTGAAGGTTAACAAAGGCTGAAGAGGAATGAATGCCAACAAGGGGCAGCTTCACTTAAGGACATTGTACTGTACTTTTTGGAGGGAGAGAAAAAATGGTGAACTCTGAAGAAGTCATGATTGGTCGATAATTAAGAAGGCAGAAGCGACAACGAGGGAGGCGCAGCTGGTTAAAGCACAATATACATTATGTACAAAACTCTTGAGATCAAAAGTCCACTTGGTAGGCAAAGTCATTTTTGTCTACAAGATGTTCTTGGGGAGGGGGGAATAAGGTAGGAAAGAGGGGGCAGAATCACCTCCATCCAATACCTCCTTGGCACTATTGTGGTAAGGTGCCTCCTGACCGAAAAAAAACGTGGAGAGAACTCATTTAAATAACGGCACAAACTGAGGGGTGTGCGGGGGGCAGGGAAGAGTCCTCCCGTGGCCTAGCCCAGTGGAATCGCCGCCTGCATCTGGCTGGAAGGGCTGAGCTGTCTGAGGGTGCAGTCTCTGCCGCAAAAGAAAAGGGCATTAGCAACACCGGGCCTTCTTCCGTTTACTGTTCTTTGTTAGCTTCACCACATCGTTCTGTTGCTGCTGCTGCTGCTTTGCTAGGTTGTCTTTTTTGGCTCGCAGAACCAACTCTGTGATGCAGTTGAACATCTGAAAAAGAAAAATGCAAGATGAGAGTGGAGAACTCTGAACAACAATAAGCAACACGCCGGAAAGCAGACCAGCAGCAGTCTCTGGCTACACCAGAAGTGGCCAGTTCTAGAATCAGGGGCACTGAAGACATTATGTTAGCTGGCCACTAACTAGAGTTAAGAGCTTGGATAATGGGATCACATGTTCCGTCCCGAGCTCCTCACCGCTCTTGCCCCTCTTGTTCAGAATGGCAGCTGAACAATGTTGTCCCTGCTTAACACAAACTGAGGGGTGCTATTGAACAAGCTTTAAGAACAGGGATGCAGAAGCTCCAGATGTTGGCAGATTCCCATCAGCCCCAGCACCAGGCCAATGGTCAAGGGAGACAAGGGGAGGTGTAGTCCAACACCACTGGAAGGCCACGGGTTCCCTATCCCTGCTTTAAAAGAGCTGCGAGGGGCAAGTGACGTGGTTCTGGATAAAAGCCTTAAGGATACTAAATGGGGAGGGGACCAGAATAAGTGGTAACTTTTGAACCACAACTCCCATCAGCCCCCAAGGTAAGGAAAGCAAATATGTGGCCTTTCACATGCTGTAGGGCTGCAACTCCCATCCCCCTGACCATCGGCCCCGCTGGTTATGCCAAAGGACTCTCTTCACCAGCCTCCAGAAGCAAGTCTATTGCTTTCTACTTCCTACATATCAGGCACTCTGCAGAGAAAGGGATGGTTTCTTCACAACCATGTCAACGCCTTCCTTGGTATGTAGCCTAGAACAGTCAAGGGATCAGCAACGTGCTCATCAGAAGCAACATGTCCCCTGTGGGATTAAATGTAAGGCCCCCCCCCATCTTTTCCTTGGTTATCACTTACTTCTTCCACATTAATGTTCTCTTTGGCGCTGGTCTCAAACAGTTGGATCCCCATCTGCCCAGCAAATTTATAGGCGTCTTCCGTCTCCACCACTTTCCGTTCTGGGTCATCGTTCTTATTACCAACTGCAAGTACCAAGAAGTCATATTTAGCATTTATACAGCTCTTCAAGGTGATCAAACCCTTCACATTCTCAGTAATTTGGACAACAGCCTTATGAGGTAGAGCCATGTGATGATGCCCACGTTGTAGGTTGGGGTGGGGGATAGACAGAGGCCGAGAGTCAGAATCTTGCTTGCATAAGACCACCTGAAAAGCTCATGGCTGAGGTGAGACATCAACTGGGACTTAAACTGAGAAATTTAAGCTGGTTCACAGCTCAATCTGCCACTAGGATTCTTTAGCTACCATGGGAAAGTGCAGTCCTATGAATCAGCCATCAGCTGGCCACAGTAACATGACTCAAAGGCTGCTCAAACCAGGCAGCTTACCTAATATCCGGCACACATCGTCGCAATTCTGGTTTATTTCATGCAACCACCGCTTGACGTTCACGAAGGACTCAGCGCTCGTAACATCATAAACCACAATAACCCCATGTGTCCCTCTGTAGTACCTGAGGAGAGAAAGAGGTGTGTTAAGGCATGTGTCTGTGACACTTTGAGATGCTTCACATGCTTGCTTATCAGGGGAGTGGCGAGGGGAGAGAAACACCAGTATACCTGAAGCAAGCAATATGGCTGTGAAGGTCTTGGGGCTGCCCTTCACTGCTTGGACTGGGCAAATAGAAACTGTGATAGAAACAGAAGGGCAAAAACTGGAGCTTTTGAAGTGGGGAGAGGGGAACCACACAAACAGACAATGATAGGCTGCCTGGGCTTCAGCACTGTGGGGGAAGCACATGATGCAGGAAGTGGAAGCAAGATTCTGTGGGATGCAGTGTTGGCAGAGATGGTTCAGAATCTCAGATTACCATGGAGAAGACTCTGTGAGCCATGGACAACTGCTGTCACCATGAGCTTGAAATGGATTAGAAATTCAGGAAAGAGAGATGAACACAAGAGGAAGATGTTACAGAAGGAACGATGTTGGCTGAACCAGTAATGTTACCAGCCAGCAAGCCATACTTGGGTAGGAAGTTTCCGAGCATGATAGGAATCCAACAGCACTGAGACATGCAAGGCCCATGGAAAGATTTGATGGACAGCTTTTTTGGTGGAATGATTGTGGCATTCACAGCTGCTATTTTGTGGGGAAGGGACCACAGTTCAACATTAAGGCTTGGCACGCAGAAGGTCCCAGTTGCAAACCCCAACATGTCCAGGTGGGAAAAAATTCTCTGCCTGTCAGTCAGTATAGACCAGGATGGGGAAACCTTTAGCCCTCCAGATAATGCTGAACCACATATCCTATGAGCCCCAGCCAGCATGGCCAATAGTCAGGGCTGACAGGAACTGCAACCCAACAACATTCGCAGGGTCAAAGGTTCCCCACCCTGGAGGAAGACAATCCACTACCAGATAAACTAATAGTCTCAACTGGTGTGTAAGTCAACCTGATGTGCTAAAAGATGGTTTGTAAGCACCTTTGGGCAGGGACCTGTTTATTTGCTGCCATGAACATTAGAAGGTGTAGTATAAGCAAGAGCAACTTGTAGGCAGCCTTACCACCAAGCAAGTGGCACAATGGGGGACAAGGGTAGGAATAGAAGTCGGCTTTTACATGTTAATAAGCTTATTGTGCATTAAACAGCATCTGGACTGGTCACCTGAAGTCACCCTGCACACTCCCTTGGTTCCATTTCAGTAGAATTTACCAGATACAGCCTTAAGAACATCAACTGGACCAGACAACTATGTTTCTTTGTTGTAGCAAATAGAATAACAAAACACAGAACTAGACAATTGTAAATCAGCAAATGTACCGCACAAACCTTCAGTCCCTCTTCAGGGTGCAACACACAGATACATGAGTGCACACAAATCCTGGAACAATACCAACTAAATGCTGCAACCTGAACTCTGCTCATGTGCATTATTTTGGCTGAGCTTGCATGTCACTGGGAGGGGCCAAGTGACGCACAGAGCCCTGAAGCCCCACCCTCTGATCCTGCAATGTCTTGTTCAGCATTTCCTCTGGCTTCTGAGATTTCCCCTTGCTCAACCCGGTCTTTACGCAAAAAGCTGAGATTCTGAGGGAACTGAATACCACACTGGATGGCTTCCCTGTGCAATTCTGGGGAACTTGAGTGCACACACCCAGTCCTGGGCGTCGCCCTTTATTTACCAAGTGGATTAGGGGCAAAGGCATTCAGCAACTTTTCATGTTTGCACCCGACATCTTCTTCTGGGTATTCCACACAGGGTACTGGTTCAATTCCAAAAGAGCCCTAAGTCCAAGTCACAATGTGGTGTGTTTGCGCGTGCGCGCACACACACATGCACACTCACACAATCACACACAGGAAGAGCTCTGCTGACACAGCACCAGTGAGACATGTTGCAGCTGACCCACACTGCCCATTTACCAGATATTCTGCAGTGCCTGGCTGTTTTACCCCCAACACATTTTCCTGTATGAATCTGGCCCACGCAGCACAACCCTCAGAGGATATGCCTCAGGACTTGAAGGAAGTCGGGGGCCAGTTCAAGCAGCATGCTCAAAGCTTGCTGCTCATACTACTTCCTGCAGCAATAAAGAAATGCAAGACAGCAGTTTCCAAACAGGCTTTCATATAAATTGGGGAGACCCCCACTGCACCTCAAGGTATAACGTCTAGTTAAGACATGCATTTGTCTCATTTCCAAAATATTTGTATTTGAACAATAATTGATTTCCCCTGCAGATACGCTTTATGTAACATGAATTTCATCTGCAAATCTCATTTTATGATCTAAGTAACATGACAACATTAACCTCTTCCTCTGCCCTGAAAAAACAGCAGACATGGAATCAGCCTAATAAAGCAAAGCTGATTTCCTGCCCTGATTTGCTCCTGTTCTGTGAACAAGCATGTCTCCTGTGTTCTGGGCAGTGCAAAGCCCTTCAGCCAATATTTTTTAAAGCACCCATTGGTTGAAGAAAAGCCACCATCTTGTATACACACTACGCATTAAAGGCTTATCAACACTGCAAACTTATATTGGTTTAATGCCACTAACTGCCATGGTTTACCTCAAAGAATCCTGGGAACTGTAGTTTGCAAAAGGTGCTGGGGATTTTCTGTCAGTGATCCTTATCTGCCTTACACACTTCCCAGGATTCCTTGGGGGGGGAGGGTAGGACTACTGAACTGGTTCAAGTCATGAGGTGGCAGTACACCCTTCCTTGCTCTATAGTAAACAACCCACTTGAGACAACAGGATTTTAAAGACTAAAAGCTGGCAGGCAAATAATCCCCATTCAAAATACCCACAGAATCTGGACTCAAGTCATCCAAATTACTTCTGTAGGGCACTTCTTCTTCTCAAGCATATGCCTATTTGCAGCTAGCCACACGTTTATTTTTGTGAGCAAGTCCTGCCAGAATGCTATGATGACATCCTCAAGAACAGAACAAGATTTTTTTCTCATTTTCCTACCAGTGCAAAAAGGAACTGGGACCAACAGAAAGACAACCCTCCTACCAAGCTGCGATTCCAGCCTATACTCTTAACATTAGATCATGTAGGGAGGGGTAAGGAACTGGCAACCTTCTAGATCATCGGTTCTCAACATGTGGGTCCCCAGATGTTGTTGCACTACAACTCCCATCATCTCTGACCACTGGTCATGCTGTCTAGGAATTATGGGAGTTGTAGTCCAACAACATCTGGGGACCCACAGGTTGAGAAACACTGCTCTAGATGATGTTGAGTTCCAAACTCCCATCAGCCCCACCCAGCAGGACCAATGGTCAAGGATGATGGGAGTTGGAGTCCAAAGAATCTGGAGGGCATCACATTGGCTAACCTTGGTCTAACCACCACACAGCACAGCAACATCTCATAGGCCACAGGTTAGCCACCTCTGGAGTAGAATCACAGAATCCTCATACCCTTATAATATACCTTTCTGTGGATCTTAACTGTCAAATGCTTTGGAAGACAATCTTGGCAGAAAAGCTAGGTAGTAGCAGCAATAAAAATAAATATTACCGTTATTGTTGTTATAGTACCGTGTGTTTATTAGGCGGCAAGTTCTCATATACTTCCTCTGGTATTGTGGAAAGGCACCTTAGCTAATAATATGCAAACTTATTTAAGCAACTAATTATTAAAAGTCAGGATGAAATCAAGTCCTTGGGTCAACTGACAATCCTACTAAAATAAACTCACGTAGACGTGATGGTCCGGAAGCGCTCCTGTCCAGCAGTATCCCAGATCTGCAGCTTGACCTTTTCTCCATTAATCTCAACTGTTCGGATTTTGAAGTCTACTCCAATTGTGGTGATGTAGCTGCCTGTTGAGGGAAGCAGCACAAACAAGAAGCAGTCAAGCTAATAAGCTCAGCTGTACATACAGAACTTCAACGGCCAACGAAAGGGAGGGCCCTGTTTTCTCACCAGAAAACATTCAAGCTTCAAACCCTGAAGAATGAAAATAAAACTTTATATTTGCAGAAATAAAGACTGCAAACCCAAGAGCATGTAACAGGGAGAAGAAAATTGTGTTGAGCTCATGCACTATTTTGAACAGAAACCTTCTCCCTAAAAGACTTTAAATCATGACATTCAGGACTTTTACATATATATGTTTGAAATGTGTTGCAAGTCGCTTGGAGACCTTCAAGTAACAAGCAGCTAAGAAGTCGAGATATTTATTATTATTATTAGTTCTGTGAGTATATATGGGCAAATGAAGGGGTGCATCCTTGCCCCACATGACCTGTTATCCCCAGGATCTAGGGTGATGAGCAAGGGTGACTTGCCACTGGCTTCCCTGCCTTCAAGCCCCTTCTCTTCTCCTTGAGTGTGAATAGAAGCATTCTGGAGCTCCTTGGATGGAAGGCTCCTCTGGAGTTGTTCTGGGCCCAGCTTACCTGAAAAAGTGTTGTCTGCAAAACGTAACAGCAAACTGCTCTTGCCAACACCTGAAAGAGAAAAGAGGGAATGCTCAAGGATGCAAACTGAACCAGAGTAGTGTATTTTATGTTGTATTTCAACCACTTTAGAACACAAAGCATGTAATGCTCTTTTCGTTGGCTACATCTAGCAACAGTAGCTTCACATATCTGGGACTCTTACATGTAAAGGTAAAGGTACCCCTGACCGTTAGGTCCAGTCGCGGATGACTCTGGGGTTGCGCGCTCATCTCGCTCTATAGGCCGAGGGAGCTGGCGTTTGTCCACAGACATGGCCAGCATGACTAAGTTGCTTCTGGCGAACCAGAGCAGCTCATGGAAATGCCGTTTACCTTCCCGTCGGAGCGGTATCTATTTATCTCTTAGGTGTCCCCAAATCTGCTTACTAGAGGCAAATGCTTTGGGTTTTCTGGTGAGCAGGTAACACAGATCATCACATACTCTTATTTGGCTACAGTTCGGAGAAGATTAAGAAACAGGAGTCCTTCTTAAGCAGCAGGACAGATTCTACCAATCCCCTACATCCTACAAGCCTCCAACACAATGAGCAGATCTCATCTCTAACTTTGAGTCCTCTGCAGGTGCCAGATAAGGGAGGGAACTAGGTGGTGTCTATGAATAATGGTTGGCTAAAAAGCCATGGGAAGGGGCCACTAGGATATCATTATATGAGCTGGTTCTTAATGACGTTATATGTTGCCAACAAACAAGAAAAAAGTGAAGAACTCAGGACAGAGGCTCAATGAATGATTCATTTTAACTCTTGTAATTAAAGTTTTGTTATATATACTATTTTCTATTTATAAGCTACCTTGGCAAGACTGCAGTCTTGAAGAACAATGCAAAAAAACATTCTAAATGAATAAATGAACAGCATTACTAGGGGTGGGAAGGGACAGGAAGAATAGCTGCTATAGTTCATGCAGGAACCACAAACGAGTCCTTATTATATCATGGAAATCTCTCCATGTTACCTTTTCTGGTTCAGAAGGTTTACCCCTTACAGGATCGATTGCAAAGGATAAACAAGATAAGAAGTGTATAGTTTCTGTGGACTAGGACAAGCAGCATACAGACTCTCACTACCATTTTTTCAAGAGAACTGGTAACATTAATACTGGGATTAAATGGTACACCTTTTGTTTTTACCTAATTGGGATTAAATGGAATTTCTGATACTGGATTACATTTAGCCAGATGATGACCAACCACTGAATACTACCTAACCACTGTACCTGTAATGATTTGGGAAGCCAGTCATACCACCCTTTGCACAAGCCATGGGGGCGGGGGAAGTTTACAATAAAATCAAATAAGATAATAGTACATAAAATCCATAACACAATCCTTCAAACCACCACCATTCATAAAAAATCACTAAACAACAATTACTAATAGCAGCAACAACTAATTCATTTGTCTCATTGAGTCCCCAAACGGTCCGCGAAAAAACGTTATGTCTTAACTAACGGGCAAAGAACTGAGGCCAGATGCACTTCATCGTGGAGGGAGTCTCGCATGCAAGGAGCCACCCCTGAAAAGCCCCTGCAAGCACCGAAGAGAAGCCTCCTGCTTTTCTGTCATCTTTCAATTTTTTGAGTGAGTGCAGAAGCCTGGAAAAAATGAACATGGGCATATGAAGCTGCCTTATCCTGTCAGACCATTAGCTGATCTAGCCCAGAATGGTCTATCCCAACCAGGCCTTTGCCCTTTTAAAATTTGGGGTTTTGGGGGGGGATTATTGGGTTGTTTTTATTTTTATTATGTATTTTGTGGTTTTGTATTTTGATTTTATTCTGTGAACCACCCTGAGACCTCCAGATATAGGGAGGTATATAAATTCTAATAATAATAATAATAATAATAGCTGGCAGTGGCTCTCAGAGGTATGTTGTCATCACCCACTGTCTGATCCTTTTGTAACTGGAAATGCCAGATGCTGTTATTATAGCGTTCCAGTGCTTGGCGGGGCAGTACAGACAACTGTTTTACTACAGTGTTGCATGGGCTCTGTGCTAAGCTACCATTTGGTAACTGGTCATCTAGAATGCACCAGTTTTTAAGACATCTTAGAGCAGAAAATGGATGAAGAGTAGCTAAACTGTAAACTGCAGAACGATCTCCCACAGCAGAGCCAAGGGAGCAGATGGAAAACTTGCACAGATTAGTGCCACTTCATACATTATGCATTCCCTACACAGGCAGCATTTTCATGTATGAATTAAACAGCGTGAAGCATTTTACACAGCACATGTCAAGCATTCAAAACCTTTCATGTACATTATCTCAGTAATCCCAACAACTATCTGAGGAGGTAGGCTAGTATTATCTGTATACTGCAGGTGAGGAGTGGGCTGAAATAATATAATCTTGCCTCTAGCCCCCTAGTGAGTTTGTGGTTGAGGTGAGATTGCAAAGGAGCATTTTCTGGCTCATACACAGCTACTATTGCTAATATTAAATCCTCAAAATGTTTTCTAGAGGCATTTATAAACTGTATGCAAAAGAAGAAGAAAAGGGAAGCAGGCTCTGCCCTTGGGTTTACAGTCTAAGTAAGACTAGACACAAAAGGAACGGGGAAATGTAAAACAGCTCTTACAAATGTTAGCTCTGGGAACAGAGAATTGCTTTTAATTAACCAACACCGGAGGTCTCTAAGCTCTCATAGGATGGCCTACAAATCTAAACACCTACATTTCACAGTTGCTTCCTTCCCCATCCCATCAACCAGGTACCTCACATTCACAATGCAAACTGTATGTTGTGCAATCATTAGAGAGAGAATTCTCATAGGCTGTTCCATTTTTATAGAATGTCCTTTCTCTGAAGGACCACCAAACTGAAAATAGTTCAGAGGAAGGGCAACACCTTCCTGGTTTTTAAACTAGTTGTGGTTGAAGGGTTGCTTGCTTGGGAAGCCGGTGCTCAAATCCACATTCAGTTTTGAAACTCACAGAGGAAATAATTCCCTTTCCATCTAACCTGCTCAGCTCAATTATTGTGAGGCCACTACTCTAAGCTCTTTGGGAGGAAGGGCAGGAAACAATCGATATTAAGCCAAATTACATGTAACATCGCTGCCAGTACTTGGACCTTGTCACCTGTGCTTGTCCTCCAAACTCTCCACCATTTCAGCATTTAAAATGCAATCTAGCTGGGACAGAGACCTATCCTTTTTGCAAACCACACTCTAAGGTGTCATGTATATGAATGGTGCTCCATGAATAGAAATGACAACGCGTAGGCGATTCTAACCTTTGGGTAAATGTTTGGTGGCCATGGAGATTAGGAGGAAGCATATTTAAAATTTACTTCTTATTTCCAGTTACTCGGTCTCCTCTTATAACATCTATAAGATACTTTTTTTAAAATCTGCAAAATACTTTACAGTCTTTCATTCATTATTATTCCTCACATTCAAATCTACCCTCTCTCTCCAAGAAGCTCAGGGCATAATAAATAACAGTCTCCCCTGCGCCTATTTTATTCTCACCACAAGCCTTGAAAGTATGCTGAGGGTTAAGAGCACAACTGGCGCAAGCTATGCAGTAGACTTCTCACCAGTGGCAAGTGGGGATGAACCCAGTGAAAACCTGTCTTGAACTACACCTGTGTTCAAGTATCCTTGTTTTCACCCATGAGATGTTCGACAACATGCAGACAGCTGGCATGGCATAGCGTCTAAGAGAGTTGTAGCCCAGCAGTTTACTCATACATGCCCCACTGTTTTTGAAGGGTCTTTCTCAGAGGAAAGTAATCATAGGACTGAAACCTCATTTACAAATCAGGAAGCTCTTGGTTCAGAATGTATCCTCTACCACAAACACACTAGGTAACCTAAGGCAAGCTGTTTCCTCTCTTTCAGACTTGCAACTTGGAGATACCACTGACTTACCTTTCAAAACTGTTACAAGTATTACAACAAGACCATGCACGAGGTAACCAGAGTCTGTGTGGTGTAGTGGTCCAGGGATAGTCAACAATGTGCCCTTCAAATGTTTTGGTCTACAACTCCTATCATCCTCTACCATTGGATATGCTGTCTTGGGCTGATGGGAGTTGTAGTCCAAAACATCTGGAGGATGCCACATTGGGATTAGACAGTCAAATACAAGAGATATCAGAGCTCCAAGTCTTCATTCACCCACTAAGTGACATAGGGCAGGTCACTTTGTCTAAGCTACCTCACAAGATTGCTGTGAGAATACAGCAGACAAGAGATAAATATGCATGCCACAGTGACCTCCTTGGGGGAAAAGGTGGGATATAAAAATGTAACGTTTATTTATTTACAATACTTATATTCTGCTTTATGGGCCTGAGCAGCTCTCAAAGCAACTTACAAAAGTTTCTCATAAAAATAATCAAGTCTGGTATCAGGAAAAGAAATAGTATGGTTCCCTCTAGGGTGCCAAGATTATTTGAGTAGCATTGCCTGCCCTCATCCTTGGGCTTCCCTAGCATTGTCCTTCAGACCTCTGTTTACTAGGCAGCAGAGCCCACAGAGAGGGGCTGAGGAGTTAGAACAGCCCAAGAAGGAGGCAACTGTTTTAACTGATTCTAATACTGTACTGTATTTTTGTATTGTGATTACCTGCCCTTTGCTTAGAAACAAACAACATAAAGGAGGAACAGAATAAGCATAATAATAATAATAATAATAATAATATACCACTGCTTTACAAGGAAATACTCTGCTACCTCTCCTTGACATTCCAAACAAGAGCTCCAAGAAATACACACATACATAAATAGAATATTGTTTTGCAGTAGAAATATACATTCATTTCTCTGACATGCCCCCTCCAATCTTCCACAGGCTAGCTCTTCCCATTCCATTTTCTTTATTAATTAATTACCAACATTTATATCCAACTTTTCATCCAAGGAACTCAAGTTGGAGTTTGTACCTTCCCACCCCCCAGCAGTTTATCCTTACAACAACCTTGCAAGGTAGGTCAGGCTGAGAGGTACAGTGACTGACCCAAGGTCACTGATTGAGTCTCACCCTGACTGAACAGGGGATTTGAAACCTGACCACCTCAGGTCCTAGCCCAGCCGTAGCCAACCTGGCACCCTCCAGATGTTGTTGAACTACAACTCCTATCAATCGTGGCCAACTACTGTATTCCTACTATACTAGCTCATTGTTACTTATACTGTGTTCTGTCCCAGGGATGGGAAACTTTGGTTCTCCAGATGTTTTACATCTCCCACCCTTGCTGATCACTGGCCTTGCTGGATGGGGTTGATGGGAGCTGTAGTCCAACAGCATTCAGAGTGCTCTAACCACTAGGAAACACTAGCTCTAGAGTCACCCTGCTTCCTCAAAGAAACATGGGTTCCCTCCCCCTCCCTGCACCTTACAAACAAGACTCTTAAAAGCTCCAGGGTACAGATACATACATTAATAAACAGAAAATGAACAGGGGGAAGGGGTAAACAGATATTATTCTTCTCACTTCCCCCACCCCTTGGGGATCAAATCCCTACTCGGCCACCATGAAGCTCACTGGATGACCTTGGGCCAGGCACGCTCCCTCTCAGGCTAGCCTACCTCAGGGGGTTGTTGTGAGGATAAAGTGGGGAGAAGTTACGCACGCCACCTTGAGTTCCTTGGAGAAAAAAGGCGGTATACAAAATGCAATGCAATAGATAAACCCCCTCTCCCCCTCCCTGACTTCCCCACTCTCCCCAAGGCTGATGCTGCCCCCCCCGGCTCTTCCGCCTCACATATCCTCCTCCCCGCTTTTCCTTCCTTCGAGGCTCTTCCGCTCCCCTCCCTCCGCGCGGGCCGGGCCGAACTTCCTACCCTACCTCTCCCCGCCCCGCCCCGCCCCCTCCTCTCCCCCTCCCCCACCCTGCCTCACCGCTGTCGCCGATGATGAGGAGCTTGAAGAGGTGGTCGTAGTCCCGGGCCATGGCCGGCGAGACTGGGGGAGGGGAGGACCGCCGGGAGCCCCTGGTGCCGTCGCGGGAAGGCCGAGTTCTCCTCAGGCGGCGGCGGCGGCAGCGGCAACAGCGGCGCCTCCTCCTCACGAAGCCGACCCAGCAGCCGGAACTGACAGAAGCGGCGGCGGCGGCGGCAAAGCAAGCGACGGCGACACCCGCCCCCTCCCCTCAGTCCGCCGTCTCGCTCTTCCGCACCAGGGCGCATGCGCGCCGCGCCGCCCGGGCAGCTGGAAAAACCGCCAGCTGCTCGAGCGCGGCTCGCGGCGCACGCGCGGCTCCGCCCCCTTTGGCCTGCCCTGCCGCTTCCTTTCTTCTTCCTCCCCTTACCTCGCTCTCATTCGCTTCCTCTGCCCTTGCTCAACATGGCGCCCGGAGCGACCATTCCCGTACTTCTTTCTTGCCCGGCGTATTAATACGCGTGCGCACGGAACGGGAAGCGGGGGGGGGGGGGAGTCACCTAATGTGAAGCGGCAAGGAGAGTGGGTGGGCGCCTTGCGCATGCGCCGCCTGCGGACGCCTTTGTCATCTCACCTGACAGGTTTCCCTGACAGGGGTAAGAGAGCATCTTGCCAGGATCTAGTTCACCAAGGCGTAGCTTCTGGAAACTCTGTTAACTGTATTGTGTGCGGAGGGGAGAGTGCCCCTGAGGGTGTGCAGAGTGCCTTCACTTCACCACATCAGTGAGCTCCCAGTCAAGGTGGGATGAACCATCATGACACTGCACTCCTGAGAACATAAGAAGAGTCTGCTGGATCAGGCCAATGGCTCATCAAGACCAGCATTTCTAAAACAGGTCCTGAAGCCAACGGCTACATCGGTACCCACATCTTCTAAAGTGGGATCACTATGGGGGCCGGGGTGAGGCAGGGGCACGTCATACACTGACAGCTTCTGCCGATAGTGGCCACATTCACAACATACATTTAAAGCCCTGTAATACCACTTTGAACAGTTATTGTTTTCCCCAAAGAATTCTGGGAATTATAGTCTGTTAAGATGCGGGTGGCACTGTGGGTTAAACCACAGAGCCTAGGACTTGCCGATCAGAATGTCGGTGGTTCAAATCCCACGACGGGGTGAGCTCCCGTTGCTCGGTCCCTGCTCCTGCCAACCTAGCAGTTCGAAAGCACGTCAAAGTGCAAGAAGATAAATAGGTACCGCTCCGGCGGGAAGGTAAACAGCGTTTCCGTGCGCTACTCTGGTTTGCCAGAAGCGGCTTAGTCATGCTGGCCACATGACCTGGAAGCTGTACGCCAGCTTCCTTGGCCAATAAAGCGAGATGAGCGCCGCAACCCCAGAGTCGTCCACGACTGGACCTAACGGTCAGGGGTCCTTTTACCTTTACCTTTAAGGGTTGAGAGTTGTACAGTGCTGAGAGTGCTGAGAGTTGTACAGTGGCACCTTGGTTCTCAAACTTAATCCGTTCCGGACATCTGTTCCAAAACCAAGGCATGTACAGTGGAACTTCGGGTTGCAGACGTAATCCGTGACGGAGGCACGTTCGCATCCTGAAGTGCCACGTCTGTGCAGGCGCCAGCACGATTTGGTGCTTCTGCGCAAGCGGTGAAACCCAGAAGTAACCCATTCCGGTACTTCTAGTGGTCTGCAACCCAAAAACACATAACCTGAAGCGACCGTAACATGAGGTATGGCTGTAATGCAAAACAGATTAACCTGTTCCAGACTTTTAAAAACAACCCCTAAAACAGAAATTTAACATTAATTTTACTATCTAACGACACCATTGATCCATAAAATGAAAGAAATAATCAATGTACTATAAAATAAATAAGGCAGTATTGTAGATGATAAAAATTATCATCCACACAGTCACAAAAACAAATTAACCAGAAAAGCCTGAGAAACAAAAACACAAAATAAGTAACAAAAACAACAGCGCCAAACTTAATCCATTCCGGAAGTCCGTTTGACTTCCAAAATGTTCAAAAACCAAGGAGCAGTTTCTGATTGGTGCAGGTGCCTGGAAACAATAGCGGACAACCGCAACAGCCATTTGGCTTCCGAAAAACCTTCAAAAACCGGAAGACTTACTTCTGGGTTTTCAGTGTTTGAGAACCAAGGTGTTTGAGAACCTTAGTGCCTTGCTACCAAGTTTTAGGCCTGATAACTGGCCACACAGAGGTGAAAGTGGGACTCAAGTTGCCTACAGACTCTCATTATTCTGTGTTTGCCCAGTGAAAGTGCTCTGTCACCCCAGTGCAACAAATTTGCTTAAAAAATAAAACTAAACAGGAACAGACTTTTGCATGGGGGAAATGCACTGAAAAGTGGGGGATAAATGATAAATGGGAAAACATAGCCACAAAAGAAATCAGGATGAATGCTCATTGTCATATAACCTCCCTGCAAACAAACTATAATTAAATATTTAGTGAAGACACGGCACACTCTAACCTCTGTGCAAGCTTTGTGAAATCAAATCAGGATGAGTGCTCAACAAACAAGTTTTATTTGAGATGGGAACTCTCAGTGGTTTAGTGCCAGAACCTGTTCTCAATATCGGCACGGAAGCCATAAATTTGTGGCTTTATAAATAAGAGTATTGTGGACATGTGCATAATATTTTCTCTCTCTCACTGCCCTAACTATCCTAAACAAGCTTGGGATTAGAGGGAAAGGCTGTCAGGGTGGTCTAGAAAGACAGCAGGTTTCCAAGGCAGACTTGGTCCATTGTCTTTGCTTTTTGGAACAGTGTTCTGAAAGCATCCTCTCTCCAATGTATTTACGCTCAGCTCCATTGCCGTTCAGTTTGTATCTGGGCAAACGTGTACATCAGATGGGCTCGTGATAAGACTATGCTTAGATTAAAGTGCTTTGTAAAAGATCATTTTTTTCAACATTTGTGCCTTCTTACCACTTTAGTGATCTGTATGCCTGTGCTTTCAGTCCCTAATCCCACAAAAGGTGACACAGTTGGTCTGTTTGTAGCCATCCAAATCCCCAATGCCTGTTCTTAGCTGTTCTATTGAGAGCAGTTCACCGTTTATGTTAAAAAATCTTTAAACCACACTCCTTCTCAATTGGATTATATTGTAATAGGCGTAGCGAAGCCAGTCAAAGAATCGTTGCACCCACCTCTTTTCTCGAAAACTGCTCAGACTTCCGCGTATGACATCACAAGCGATTAACATAAGGCAACCAGAAGCCTTTGCGACTGCATGTCAGCTTTGTAACTAAGAAAAAGGGGAACCCCCGCCCCATTGAATGAAAGTGTGGCTGTGGATATTTTGAGATGCAGGGTATCAACTGATAGGCACCCGACCTTTTGCCTGGTTGACTGCTCACCATAGCCTGATTAATTGTTGCTTGCTTGGGGGCCGAAGGGCCTTGCAAACGAACGTTAGCTTTGCGCAGTGGCAGTATCGTAGCCAATGAGGTTAATCCGAGGCGCGATTATTGCTAATTGAAAACTTTTCCCAATACCCCGCCATGACGACTTGAAATACAGTCGGCAATGGCAATTTTTGACAGTCTCTACGGAGACTGAATTTTCTGGTTTAAAAATAGATTGACGTAGTTTCTCCTTAGTTGCGTGGTGCCGTTCGGTTATCAATATAATATTGCTTTTTATTTAGTGTCCTAGTTTGTGCTTACAACTCCGGGTCAGAGATGATGGGAGTTGTAGCCCAAATATTTGGAGAGCACGTGGGTGGAAAAGGCAGATGCAAAACATATGTTGTACAGATGTTGGCTCAGTTTTAGGATGACAAGAGTTGTAGAAAGAAATACTGATAAAGTGGCATTTTCTGACTGTAAATATGTAATTCCGGCATTGCTGCGGATTAGACTAGATGACCCTCATGTTCCCTTCCAACTCTATGTTCCATATATAAATTGGTTGTCTGTTTGTTGGCATTAGTCTGTCTTGGGAGCCAAGTCAAACCGTCACAGCGCCTGAAGTGACCTCTCCAGGGCTCAAGCCTGGGCCGTGTGTATGGAAGTCCTGGGTGTGTATGGAAGTCCTGGGCTGCCCAGACGACAAGACTAAGAGGGGGGTCTCGGCCTTGCTGATGTGGTCCAAAGGAAACAAGAGCAATACGTTTGGCACCAGCTTGGCTGCCAGAACAAAGTGTGCAAGATTCCACTCTAGATTTGAACATAGTTTCTTGTATTTTAGTGTGTAGTACCAAGTCAGACCACGAGTTCATCTAGCTCAGTATTGTCTACACTGACTGGCAGTGGCTCTCCAGGTTTTCAGATGGGATCCATTCCCATCCTTACCTGGAGCAGCCGAGGATTGAATCTGGGACCTTCTGCATTCAAAGCAGATGTTGCACCACTGAGATATGAGTGACAGTGTGCTGTGGAAGTTAAGAGTGTCGAACGAAGGCCTCCGGAGCGCAAGGCTCCTCTCAGGCACCATGCGGAGCTCACTGGCTGACCTTGGAGCAGCCACCCATCTCTCAGCCTAACCTACCACATAGAGGCTGCAGCAAAGATTAAAACAGGGAGGGGGAGAATAATGTACCATAAGACACCTTGAGGAAGGCCAGAATGCAAATCATAGAACTGTACAGCTGGAAGGGATCCTGAGGAGCATCTAGTCCAACACCCAGCAATGCAGGAATATGCAGCTGTCCCATACGGGAGTCGAACCTGCAACCTCGGTTTTATCAGCACCCACCCAGTGGAGCTATCCAGAATGTATAACACTTAAGAACACATGGCCAGAGCTCTTGTGATGGTTGACCTCCCAGTAAACAACAAGGACATCTGAAGTGGGGGGGGGGGATGGCAGGCACACATTTCAACAGGTCCGTTCAACCTCTCTCACCACCAAAGGAACACAAGTGAACAGCAAAGAACCTGCACAAGCAACGCTGACACCAAACCCCACATATATTAAGTAAAATAGAAACATCGTCACCCGACCCCCCCCATCCTCCCCCCCACCTCTTTCCCCCTTTTTGTCCTAATGTCTCAACAAATGAAACTGATTTGTAAAAATGTTACATGGGGGAAAAAACGAAAGAGAGACACTGCACATACTTTTGTAAATCAAGAAAATCTTTAATAAAAATACATTTTTAAAAAAGTTATGCTGGAGTGGAAGGAGCTGTTCCATTATTTACATTTATATCCCACCTTTCAATCCCGGAGCTCATGGACAGCGCCATCACCCCCACGTCTCCCATTTTATTATTATTAGAATTAGAATTAATATACCGCCCTATACCCAGAGGCCTCAGGGCGCT